GTCCAGGGAAGTTGTGTGATACTTCGCCAACTAAGGGCCACGTGACCATTGAGAATCTCGCCGGGTGCCAAGTCCCAGATGTAGGAGTTTCTTATTGGTCATGTGACTGCGCTCACCAGTGACCACTCATTGGCAAGAATTATGACAATAAGGACTGCGGAGCTGGGAAGTGTACAGACCACTACACCAGCTGGTGGGGGCATCACACAGCTAAGTGCCACAGGGACCGTGAGGAACGTGCTAAAAAATGTTTTCGCATTTTGCGAAAAGGCGAACTTACCCTTTTAACATTCACTTTAATAATTCAGCTGCCGTTTTTGGATTTATTTTCTTACTTTTAAAGTATTAAAAGTAACATTTACTCTCTACAGTATTTGGGACCAGTGTTGGACAGTGCAGATTTCACACCGGTTCTATACCGAGAGCTGAGCGATCAGGTCACCTATGACGGCACAGCTCACAACCTGGCCTGTGCAGAGAGCAGTCACTGCTCCCTGCTCAGATTTCTCCCTCCCCTCTTTGTTCTCCAGTGCTTACTTCAGGGACAGACAGGGGAGGGGATGGGCACGGCTGGTTTTGGATATCGAGTGGCAGAGCCAGCTGTCAGGCGGCTTTGTGGATCAACCAATATTGTCTGCATCCTTCCCGGCTGCCACAGGACTGCGATGTTGGCAGCAGCCTGCTACAATGCCTGCTGATTTTAGCGTACATGCGTTAGAATAGCACTGTAGAAGAAAACAGATTTACAGCTAGGTAAGGCTGTTGATGCATCCATTGTACTTTATTGGCTTAGACACCTAAAATCTATCCTGTGGCTGGACATGCCGGGGTCTGATTTCTAACCCATTGAAGGGTCAGAGTTTCCAGCTATCAGCAGCTATATGCATTATGTAAGGCTTGGGGAACTGTGGAACTTGTACATTGGAACATAAGATTTTGTTCTTGTATAATCGATACTTAGATAACTTACAAGGCCAAGGTAGTGAGGAATTATATAATGCATACAATTGATGTAGTCTTTTGTTAGCTTTTAGTACGCTAGGCATTTCGCAACAAGTTAAGGTATAAAGTCCCTATCATTCTGTTACATCAGCATTGTAATGGAATACTTAATAGAATTTTAATCAAAGCTTATTTTTAAAAAATCCCTTTTATGTAGTAAGTGCCGCCTTCCGTCTGCCCATCAACTTCCTGGATTCCCTATGTTTTTGCATCTTTCCCTGCTGCTTGGTATGATACAATCTGGATTTCCCAAGACTGCATATTCCATCATGCATTGCTTCCAGCAGGCATTGATCATGTTACATTGTTCAGACGTTGAGTTGTAGTTCAGCTTTGGTCGCACCGTGGACATGTGACCGCTTTGGAACCATGGCCCTAAAGGGTCACAAGTGCTCCTGGCTGTCTGAGATATTTATCTTCCTTTATTACCATGTGAACATTTTATAGGAGCATCACAACTTACTTGGAGATGGGCAGAGATCTCTTCGTACTCTGGACGATGTGTGGTGATACTTGGACATTAAAGTAGTTGTTTTTGTTGCAGAGTAGGGATGTGCCGATACCGAGTATTTGGGCGAGTACTTGTATTCTCCCAAATGCTCCGGTGCCTAGCCGGATACCCGAACGTCCGGTATCAGGAAGCCGGGGGAGCGAGTCATTACACGCTTCCCGGCCAATCGGGAAGCCGAGCAGCGTGTAATGACTTGCTGTCCGGCTTCCTGATTGGTTGTGAAGATGGCCAATGAGGAAGCCGGATGGCGAGTATTAACCCGCCCACTGGCTTTCTGATTGGCCAGAAAGCCAGCTTCATACTCCCTCGTCACCTGGTGATGAGGGAGCCGGCTTCCCGGCCAATCAGGAAGCCAAGAGCCGTGTAATGACTCGCCGCCTTGCTTCCTGATTGGCCAGTTTCTCCACCAATCAGGAAGCCAGGTGACAAGTCATTAGCTGCCCCCCGGCATCCTGATTGGCCAGAAAGCTGGCTTCCCTACTAATCAGGAAGCCGGGTGGCGAGAAATTACACGCCACCTGACTTCCTTAATGGTACTTTCGGTATCGGCGAGCACCGAAAAAAAAATATCATTACTCGATACCGAAAATTGGTATCTGTGCATCCCTATTGCGGAGTAAAATAAATAGACGGACATTCCACTTGAATAAGGTGCTGGGAATCCTAACACTGGTCATGCACATAATTGATCATTTTAGGTGGTCTTTTGCTCAACATAAACTGCCAAAACAGATTGGTCCTAATGAGAGTGATAGTTTGTTCATTGAACCTTCTGCTTAGTACAGTTAATTATTAAAGATGCAATTCTTTCTTGTATTGTAGAGTCGGTTACATAAATGGGCAGCATAAAACACCCCGAGACACAGAAGCCCCACCTATAAGTCACCTCTACATGCCTTATGGCATACGCAGTTCTTGAACTATTGATCTGTACGTGTCAGTTTTAATCTCTTACAGTCAATACTTAAGATAACTTGCACGTTGGCATGTGATACTATGCATTCAGTGCTGTTTACATCTAGAATTGCAGACTTATCTTCATACCTAATACAACTTAGGTGTGTAAGTGGTTATGAAAACATGTGAAGGGACTCTGACTCTTGCATAAGGAGTGTCAGTTGATCGGGTATCCTATGACCAGAACTGTGGCATGCTGTGTCCCCATTGCTGGTTCACCAGGAACTGATGCCGTTACTGAGGCATGACCAGAACTGAGACATGCTGTGTGTCCATTTGCTGGTTCACCGGGAACTTATGCCGTTACTGAGGTATGAGGACGTGTGCCTCATTGCTATTGGTGGGATGTTTTCTCCTTCGAAGTAAGACCAAAGTTTTGGGTAAAGGATTAGATCTTCACCTTTTATTGCTTCCTTATTGGGAAGGTTACCTCACTTCCTATCCTGGTGATGTCCTGATTGGAAGTAAGAAAATAATTCTTACCCAGGGCTGGCCAAATCCAAGGAGCCAGTTCGCCATTTATTCCTTAATTACAGTTGCCGCCTAGTTGTCTTGGATTGGACAGATTGGCTCGTAAATTCCCTATTCATTTGTCCAACCCTGTTCCACCCATTCCTTGCTCTTCTTAATTTTTTTTTTTTTTTTTGTTACTGCATTTGTACCTTTTTGACACAATTCACTTAACTTCCTGTTATGGAGACACCTTGTCACCAGACCCAGATTTGAGCCAAAAAGTTGCTACAGAGGTTTTATCTTTTCCCAAACCAAAAACAATGTTGTGTAGTCTCTAATCTGCCTGGGGGACTCCTTTCCAATACTTTTATTTGTACATAACGTTCTGGGTATATGTTGCTGTGAATGTTCTACAATATTCTACTCCCATTTACGATCCATTCTGTGGACTTCCAAATGTTCATTTCCTCTTTCATTTGTATTTAACAAGCAATGACTTCCATTGCTGAATTAGCGCACGTCAGTGTAACAAGTTATTTTGTTTCCTCAGGCATGTTGAGGAGTTCAGCCCGCGGGCGGTGTACACAAGCGGGAAGGCGTCCACTGCTGCTGGTCTGACTGCAGCGGTGGTGAGAGATGAAGAATCCCACGAGTTTGTAATAGAGGCCGGAGCCTTGATGCTGGCCGATAATGTGAGTTCTTCCTGCATGCTGTGTGTCGTCTTCCTGCATGCTGTGTGTCGTCTTCCTGCATGCTGTGTGTCGTCTTCCTGCATGCGGTCTGTCGTCTTCCTGCTTGCTTTGTGTTCAGCCAACAGGCCTGGTAGCCAGTTCTGCAGTATTCAAAAATGTTAACCAGAAACTAGACATAAAGCTGCCAAGGTCAATGGGGTGTCAAGTCACAAGATGCTTTCCTTCAGGGCAGTTGACAAATTTTCTAAGAGAACTTCTGGTTTTGTACATGGCTAATGTATGTAAACCCTAACCATGAACTTCCCTTATCTGCCCCCTTGAAATATTGAACAGTCCAAAGGGACCAAATAAGAGTTCATGGTCAAGGTTTCCATAAACTTCCAAGCTTATCCTACAAACCTAACACGCATCTTACTTTAAAAGCATCAGGCTTAAGATATAAAATGCTTGAACAGTGTTAGATTGTATCATTACACTGATTGTTGGTAAATGAAAAGCAATCGAAGTGACTTAAAGTTTTTAAGCTTAGATCGTAAAGCTGCGACCTTGTCCTGTGTGTGTGTGGGTCGAGTTGGTCAATGCACTTTGGTCCTGTTTACTTACTGCAATGCATTCTAGGCGATCTAATAACTTTGCCTTTCCAGGGTGTGTGTTGCATTGATGAATTCGACAAGATGGACCTAAAGGATCAGGTGGCAATCCATGAAGCCATGGAACAGCAGACAATCTCCATCACCAAAGCTGGTGTTAAGGTATGCTTTCTGACTTGTACCGTTCTTCATCAGGCAACGCTGAACGCAAGGACGTCCATCTTGGCTGCTGCAAATCCTGTTGGTGGTCGTTATGACAGGTCAAAGTCCCTGAAACAGAATGTAAACTTGTCTGCTCCAATCATGTCGAGATTTGATCTCTTCTTCATCCTGGTTGATGAATGCAACGAGGTACCATTTATAGCATTTTGTTACATTCTTCTTTCTAGCCATCTAAAGTCACCATAACCAAGCTAAAAGCTAGTAACATTGTTTTCCCCATGGTGGCTTTTTGCATATCTTAACCGGGAAAACAATTTGTTTTCCCAGTACACATGTCAGATACCCCGGTCCTTATCTACCATGAGCTGTGCACCAACGAACCACACCCACTCTGTCTGCTTCTTTACCCCCCCCCCCCTCAAGAGCGCTTAAAACATTGGACGTCCTATTCAAAACTTTTAGCATATCTTAACACATTTTAGTTACTTGTGCATATTCACAAAATTTACGTATTCATGACCTAGAATGTGAACCTGCAATCTAGGATAGCCATATATTGTAAACCTCTATCCCAGGTATTTAAACCTGCTTGCTTAGCAGACTAAAGTCTCCCCCAGATACATGGATGATTTCCGCTCTAACTGGTGGCACCTCCAGTAGATAATGCATAAACAGTAAAGTGTGCCTTTGTGGTGTTTTTATGTTTGCAACTGGTTAATACCTTTCATGTTAAGAATTCATTTTACTTCCTGTTCTGGAGAAGCTGCAAGAAGCGCTTCAAAATCTTTCTACAGTGAAGGGAAATTCCCTCATAGGCATTTATCACTGGAATAGTTGTCCCCATAGAAGATTCCCCCAGTCTACCTGTTCTGGTGATGTAAAAGTTTAGGTTGGTTTTTCCATCAGTTTTGTTCCCACGAGGGTGAATCTTCCCCGTGGGGACAAGGGTTATAACTTTTTCCTACTCTGTTCAACACACTAGTTTTAGCTTTAGATATACTATAAGGTTGAAGACTTCTGGTAGACTATGTACTCTATAAACCCAAACGCTTTTCCATAATTGCTTTCATAGCCAGTTTGTTTAATGACTGACTTTTGTCTGAGAATGCTTTCCTAACAACTTGTAATGGTCTTCAGGTGACTGATTACGCCATTGCTCGGCGTATTGTTGACCTGCACTCTCGCATTGAGGAATCCATTGACAGAGTGTACACCCTGGATGAGGTCCGTAGATACCTGCTCTTTGCCCGGCAGTTCAAGCCCAAAGTAAGTTTCCCAAAGCAGGTTTTTATTTTTTTATGGGGATTTGCCCTTTTTCTTATGAAACTTTCTACTTGCAACAGATCTCCAAAGAGTCAGAAGACTTCATAGTGGAGCAGTACAAGAGGCTGCGACAGAGGGATGGGACTGGAGTCACCAAGTCAGCTTGGAGGATCACCGTTCGACAGCTGGAGAGCATGATCCGGCTGTCTGAAGCCATGGCAAGGATGCACTGCAGTGATGAGGTGAGAATTCTGGAGCTTTGACAGAGATTTGCTCCATGTAGTTAATGTCCACTTAGAGACGGAAGATACAATGCTGCAATTCCAATAATCTATTGCAAGCTATTGCTTCCCTATCCAGGTATGTTCCCAAGAGCAAGTAAGGGCCTGCAGTTACAAAGTGAACTTTAGCTTTCAGTAAAGCAATGACCCCTAACATCTAATAATAAATCTGAGGCCAATGTAGACCAGTATGGGCTGACAATAGTAATGCTACAATGCAAAATAACCCTTGTCACCAACATCATTGACAGGTGTTTAATGGAAAGGTGCCCTTATCCTGGTTGCCCCCTTTGCACTGACCTAAAGTAACCTACCCTCCCCAGATGTATACTTCCTGGATGTACCAACCACAGCCTCTGTTTACATCCTGGCCATGCCAGTGCATTATGTCTCCATTGACTTCTATGAGACTTTTAAGCCTCAGGACAGATCCCCCTTAGTAGTCCATGTGGCTGTAATGTGCAGGAGTGGCCAGGAAAGCATGACCGTATTTAAACTACAGAAGGCATCAGTCAAATCCAGGTAAGAATGCATCTGTGAAGAGGAAAGGTGGGTTGCCTTAGCCCAGTGCAAATGGGACAGGTGCACTTTGTCCTAAAGTTCACCTATAATTTATGATCCAATAGGATACAAACTGACAGCACTCAAGTGATGCAATCCTGCTGTAGAGGAACTTTTACATTCATTCAAATGGTCAGTAACAATATCCACGGCATTGCAGTTCTCCAACCATGGGAAACTCTGCACAAGACCTAAGGCCCGGTTCACACCTGGGCGTTTTGTAGCGCGTTCCTACGCTCTGCAAAACGCTCGAACACCGAAATCCCATTATTTCCTATGGGTATGGTTCACACCTGGGCGTATTAAAGGCCGTATGAACGCCCTACACCCAAAGAAGTAGAGGAGCTTCTTTGGGGCGTATTTGCCACGCGTATCCATTGGGATACAGCCAGGTAGCCCTCGTAAACGCGTGTTTGGCGCGTGTTTTTACCGCGGATTGCGGTAAAAACGCGTGGCGCCACAAACGCACATATTCGATACGCCTTGGTGTGAACCCAGCCTAAAGGACCAATACAAAGCATGCCCGCATCATGTGATATCTTCAACATTTCATTCAATATAGATTGTACTCTTATAGGTTCTTGGCAACATAATATTTGACATCACTGCTCAACCTTCTGTATGTGGGAAAACCTTCATTGTTCAGGTCTGAGCAGCACTCGCTGTCTCTAGCATGTGTCTTAGCTGATGTATTTCAAGTACAAACCCTTTTCATCAGAGCTACTACTTTTAACTATCCCTCACCTTTAATTTACAATCTGCAATAGACTATAAAAAGACAGGTAATGCCCGGACGCTGCATATGTTGTTAGGCTGCTCCCGCTTGATCCTTGACTAATTAAGCGACTAGGGCTAGGAGAAATAGACATGCTTCCTACGTTTGTACCTGTACGATATCATTAATCGACTGTATATGTGTTATATGTTTACTGTAAAATGTTTGCTCAAAAATAAAGAATTAAAAAGAAAAAGACAGGTAATCTTAAGCATGTGGGCAATATTCACACTAACCTTGCAGTCATAACATGACAGTTACAGTCTGAGTACAGTGTTGGTTTTTCCGCACCCAGAGTTGCGTGGGTCTTGCCTTGGATGGTTTTATGTGAAAAGCTCTGTTGCCAAGAACATTTGTAAGTACAAGATATATATATATATAATAAAGTTTTATTGAAGATCTCGCACAATGCTGGTGCACCTACCTTTTGTCCCTTAGGCAGTGCATAAAACAAATGACTAATAAATGCACCTTCGGTTATGTGTGATGACCTTGAGAAGTGCATTGACCCCATGGAGTTTTCATTGCTCAGCTAGGAGCCAGCAGATTTCTAGTACACTTATTAGTCAGGCCAATTCCCATCCTCACAGGGAGTATTCCCCGAATAAACTTCACTTGCCTAAGCTGTGTTCAGTCTCTTCAAGGACCAACCAACCAGCACGTGCCCTGCAGGTTCCATTCATATAACTGCGAAGCACTTGCCAGACAGAATAGATTCTGGAGAAATATAAATGCTGCTTTTCAGTAAAGTTAGAGCACATGTGTCAAACTCAAGGCCCAGGGGCCATTTCCTAGATCTCTGCTAGAACTATGAGGTAAGTGAAAAGCACTCGCCTCATAGTTCTCTAAGTGCATTGACAGTCTGGCTTCTAGCTTATGTCCTGCTATAAATTGATGGTGTGTTAATTCTAGTGTTGGTATCTTTATTGCACTCAAGTGCAGCTTTGAACTGCCAGTGTTCTGCTCGCGTAATAAAAAAATGAACCCATTCCCAATGTGATCTAGGTGCAGCCAAAACATGTGAAGGAAGCTTTCCGGCTATTGAACAAGTCCATTATTAGAGTGGAGACTCCAGATGTGAACCTGGACCAGGATGATGTAGAGGAAGCAGAGCCTCAGGAGGCCATCAATGGTGAGTGTTCTGTGATATCCTGCCTAGATCCAGTCATGTTGCCAGCGCTATCCTTTTCTAACATGCTGTCTGTCCAGGCGATGCCGGAATACCCAATGACCATGTGAATGGAATAAACGGTCACGCAGATAGTGAGCCAATGGAGACTTCTGCCAAACCATCCTTGCGTCTCGGCTTTCCGGAGTACAAGAGGATCTCCAATCTGTTGGTCCAGCAGCTGAGGAAGATGGAGGGTCAGTAAGAAGTCTGAACATCTAGTATGGTTTACTCTTCTAGCAGGGGCCAGGATGTGTTCTAATTATCTTGTGCTTGGCTCATACAGATGAGGACGAGTCCACACAGAGGAGAAGTGAGCTCCTCAACTGGTATCTGAAGGAAATCGAGTCAGAAATCGACTCCGAAGAGGAACTTGTAAACCGGAAGAAGATCATCGAGAAAGTTATCCACAGACTAGTTCATTATGTAAGTATCCTGTCTTCAGAATCTATATTACAAGAGTGAAAGCCTCCCCTAAAGAGGAGAGCTGATGGATCTATGTAAGAGTTAACTGATCTAAAATAGAATATCAGTCGCAGTCTGGGTCATAAGCAGAATCCAACTTTCTCTAGAGAATACTGAATTGCCTAGTTTCCTGGATGTGTGGTTTTGCGATGTGGGCAGAGATTCAAAATATCCCTCTGTGTCTCTCCCCCCCCCCCCTTTATTTCTCGCTGCAGATGAATTTAAAAAAGCAATTTCCTCAGTCATTCTACAACACAGATACAGATTCATAGTTTTCCGTCATTAGAAAATATCTGTATTTTTTACTACTGCCAGGGTTTGGGTTACTTTGTGTTTGGAAAACATAAACCTGTGCAGCCATAAGAGGAGCAATGAAGTTCCATCACTGGGTAGCCACCCCTGTCTTTTTGCTGATCTGGTAGTTACCCATAGCGTGTGATGATTTTGTTCAATTTGTTGAGACCATAGACTTGGTAAGCCTGGGCATTGCCCGGCAGCACATGCCCTCCTTTCCCTTGCTCCCCCCACCGCTCCGAGTAGCTGCTTGGAGCAAAGAAACATTGCTGGTACTTAGGAGTATGTGATTCCCTTTTCTCTCATGTGACAGCGGCAGTGTGTTGTACAATATATAATTCATTGATTCTAGGTATTTATATAGCGCTGACAATTTCCACTAGCCTCATAGTTCGAGCTGACGTGTGACAATTAAACTGTCACACGTCGGCTCAATAGATCGTGAAGTGAGCGAACGCATACTGTCACTCGCTCACTTCTCGATCCTGTCCCTGCAGAGAGCCATGACTGTCACTCACGGCTCCCTGCAGGGATTCCCCGCTCCGATCCTCCAGTGCTGACTGGTGGAACGGACGAGAGAGGGGGCGGGTAAAGCTGGCTCTGCCTCTAGATAGGCAGAGCCAGCTGTCAATCACGCAGCTGAGTGGATCTCGACAGTAATGTCGGGATCCGTCCCGGCAGCCGTGGTCTCAGTATACCGCAAGCTGTAGCTCGCGGTATACTGAGCTTTGGGTGACGGGAGGACGCTAGTTTGTGTCCTCCCGTGACCCTAGGGGGAACTGTGGGGAAAAGCCCTGACCCCATAGTTCTCCTTTTAAGAGTGTAATGCTAGAATTCAGCAGGAGTTATGATTTACATGCCTCTTGTTATGTGCAGACCACGCTGTCTAGTAAAAGCAGCAAACTAGGGGTACATACGACAGTCACCCCTTTATTCTACTGGATGAACTCTTTTTACATTTGCTGCTGCTCTCTAATAGCATTGGGACTTCAGAATTCACTGACCTGTTTCCAGCAGGTTTGCATGTCCATAGATTTGAATAAGAATGTGAAACCTGTTTAATGTGACCCATCGCCCGTCAACACAGGTTTCAGTGCTGGCACACTTGGACAAATTGTTCTTCGAGGTTCTGGGGTTTTTGTTCTCCGTTTTATCTGCATTTATGCCATCTGCTCTTTCAGTTTCAGAGCCTTTTAGATCAGGTGAGCAGTTGTTTTCCATTCATTCGATATTACAAGTACAAATTGGGGATAAAATGCATCGCTATTGGATGTCCTGTCTGTCACAAAGTGCAAGCTCTTTAACCTAACCATGCTTTTCCTCTTGTTTTCAGGATCACATCTTAATTGAATTGACACAGACCGGACTGAAAGGCTCTGGCAGCGAAGCGGAAGCTACAAAGGAAGAGGATCCTTATCTGGTTGTTAACCCCAACTACCTCATGGAGGATTAGTGCGGCTGTAAATATGGACATTGGAAGCTCCTTCCAGCTTTAACTCAAAGCTTTCTGGCCTCACCAGCCTGGACTTTCTTGGATGCTTATATGATGACTTTCAGAGCCATGCGCTTCTAGACTTTAGACTTTATTTTCAGAGCTTATCTGGGAATCAGAAGTGGTCTTTATTTTAAAGAGTACAATAAGTTTTATTTTGGCCTTTTAGTATTGTGTTCGTGGCCAACTACTTCAGAGTTCACTGAGCTGGGTCTGGAGGTGTCAGGTTGTGACACGTCGGTTCGGTCATTATGATTGAGAGGACTTTAGAGACTAAGTGTATGCAAAAGTTGAAGTGCCCTCCAGCTCATTAACCATTTCCTGATCCAAGTGGCTAGGTCAGATAATAAGCCTTATGGGGCATTTTCCTAATTGTCAGCTCCTAATTTTTATTTTTTTACTGTGTTCTGGGGCAGCAAAGCCACTGTTCCGGATTATAGGAAGGTTGCTTCCCTTTTTAAAGTGCTTTTCCAGCCAAATATTTTTTTTGGCTAAAGTGTCACCACCTCTGTCAGTGTTTCCTGCTTTGTTGTCCTGTTGGGGAGATTTCCTCACTTCATGTGCTTGTAACTACATTGCAGAGATGGGAAGTGAGAGAAATCTCAATGATACCTCGGGTAGCAATGAAAATCTGACCCGTTTTAACCCTTCCTCACTTTATTGAAAAAGTTTTGCCTGGAGTAACAAGACTCCTTACCAATGAGCCCCACCCCAAGCCATTGGTACTGCCATGTCTTCTGCTGCTACTGCCACCATCAATGCAGGCAGGAATACCTGGTGCTTTCAGATATGAAAAAGCACGTGACTTCGTTTTGGCAGTGCTTGCATCCAACAGTCAATGCCAAGTGAAATTACAACCCCCCGCCCAGGGGATTTTAGTACCCGCTCAAGGGGAATCCTTTACAAAGCCAATGTGTCCTTGAATGGGTCAAAATGACATTGTCTCAAAACGTCTGTCAGAATCTGGTAGTATCAGGAGAAATTCCCTTTTAAAGGAGAACTATGGGGTCAGGGCTTTTCCCCATAGTTCTCCTTAGGGTAACAGGAGGACACAAACTAGCGTCCTCCCGTCACCCTAAGCTCATTATAACGCGAGCTACAGCTTGCGGTATACTGAGACGCCGGCGCGGATCCCGACATCGATGTCGAGATCCGCCCAGCTGCGTGAGTGACAGCGGGCTCTGCCAATCTAGAGGCAGAGCCAGCTGTACCCTCCCCCGTCCGTTCCGCCAGTCAGTGCTGGAGGATCGGAGCGGGGGGAATCCAGCCCCTCCCCTGTCACGGCAGAGAGCCGTGACAGGATCGAGAAGTGAGCGAACGCCGGTATGTGTTCGCTCACTTCCCGATCTACTGAGCCGACCTGTGACAGTCTCATTGTCACAGGTCGGCTAGAACTATGAGGTGAGTGAAAAGCACTCGCCTCATAGTTCTCCTTTTAAGATTGCCCAGGAGGGCAGTAGCAGTTCTTAAAAGATGTAATTTTTGTTTTTTTTTAAATCTGTTTTATTTGATAAAGTGAGCTAGCGTCTCGGCAAAGCCCGGTTTTACAATTCTTGTATAGTTAAGACTATCATACTGGTTTGCTTGGACTTCTGGATACAAAGTGCCTTAGGCCTCCATGCCGGTTTAGCCCAGGTATAGGCAACCTTTGAAATTCCAGCTGTTGTGGAACTACAAGTCACATGAGGCATTGCAAGCCCAGTAGCCAAAAGCATGACCTCCAGAGGCATTAAAGGAGAACTATGGGGTCAGGGCTTTTCCCCATATTTCTCCTTAGGGTAACGGGAGGACACAAACTAGCGTCCTCCCGTCACCCTAGACTCAGTATACCGTGAGCTGCAGCTCGCGGTATACTGAGATGCTGAAGCGGATCCCGACAATTGTGCCGGGATCTGCCCAGCTGCGTGACTGACAGCTGGCTCTGCCTATCTAGAGGCAGAGCCAGCTGTACCCGTCCCTTCCGCCAGTCAGCGCTGGAGGAGCGGAGAGGGGGGAATCCAGCCCCTCCCCTGTCACGGCAGAGAGCCATGACAGGATCGAGAGGTGAGCGAACGCCGGTATGTGTTCGCTCACCTCCCGATCTACTGAGTCGACCTGTTAGTCTCATTGTCACAGGTCGGCTAGAACTATGAGGTGAGTGAAAAGCACTCATAGTTCTCCTTTTAAGTGACTTGTAGTTTCAGTGCTGAGGCCGGTTCAGCCCAATGGCTGTCAGATCCCGTCAGCAATGTTGATATTGTAAAGGGTCTGCTGCATACCTGTGATTTTACATTTACCCTTTTATCCAGCACATTTAGACCGCCTGTGTACATCTTTCACTGTTTCAATTTTGCTTTTATCCTGTTTGATTTGTACATTGTACTTTTTATGGTTTTTATCACTTACAGTAAAAATACTGTAACTTTGTTTAACATATACCAGTCTCAAAGCTGATCAAGTCCTTTCATGAGTGTGGGTGTCGGTGTTTTACTCTAAAGATCTTGACCACTTAAATGATAGTGTCAGAAGTGTTACTATTGCTTATTTTTTGTAATTTCTGTGCTTTGCTGACATTTTTGTTATAAAAAAATAGAGTATATAATAGGGATGCGCCGATACTTGGCATTTTCTTGAACTATCAGGGTTTCAGCGGTTGCAGCTGGGACGGGGCTCTGGCGCTCCACCACTGTCCTGAAATCATTAGTCTGTATTGTTTTAGAGAAACTGTCACATGACAATAAACAAAAATGTATCAGTACTTGTAAAAACTGGTATCGGTGCATCCCTTTATATATGTTAATAAAAAACAAAATCATTCATTAAAACAGAGATGTACAAATCCCAGGAGCTCCGTCTGCTGCTTACAAATGACAGCTGCCTCCTAACGTTTGAATTTTTCTCCAGTCTTTTTCTCTGGAAAAGTATTTGTACTTGTACCGAGTATGGTATTTGGTAGGGATGCACAGATACCGATACTAGTATCTATATAGGTGCCGATACCGAGTATTTGGGCGAGTACTCGTACTCGCCCAAATGCTCCAATGCCTTCCTGTATTGGGAAGTCGGGCAACGCGTCATTACATGCTGCCCTGCTTCCTGATTGGCCAGGAAGTGGCTCCATGCTCTCTCGTCACTTGTGTTACAGGGTACAGGTCTATTACAGGGTATTTTGTTTTGTTGCAGGCCAGCTAGGAGGTTTTCTGGGGATTCTTTTTGTTTTGTATTATTGTAAGCCTTCCCATGTGCACCCTGCTACAAAGGCTGGTTATAAATGTATGCGGTTACCATCTTTTTCTAGTTCTCCAGCCAGAACGCGGCCTTCCTCCGGTATCTGGCCGGCCAATCAGGAAGCCGGGCACTGTGTAATTCAATGCCCTGCTTTCTGATTGGCCGGCTCCATACTCCCTCATCATGAGATGACGAGGGAGCATGAAGCCAGCTTCCCGGCCAATCAGAATGGCGGGCGCTGCGTCATTACACAGCGCCCGGCTTCCTGATTGGTTGGGAAGCTGGCCAATTAGGAAGCCGGGCGCTGTGTAATGACGCAGCGCCCGGCATTATGATTGGCCTTGAAGTTGGCTTCATGGAGCCGGCCAATCAGAAAGCAGGGCGTTGCATCATTACACGGCGCCCGGCTTCCTGATTGGCCGGCCAGATGGCTCCGGCTGGGTACCAGAGGAAGGCTGCATCCTGGCTGGAGAGGCCCCAGGGGTGACAGGCTGGACATACCAAGGTAAGAGGGAACAGACTTTCTTGTTAATCGGGAAGACGGGTGGCGAGTCTTTACACGCTTCCAAGCTAATCAGGAAGCCGGGTGGCGAGTCATTACACGCAACCCGGCTTCCTGAATGGGACTTCTGTTACTTGGTAATTGGTATCGGCGAGTACCAAAAAAAAATGATCGGTACTCTACCAAATTACCGGTATCGTTTCATCCCTAGTGTATATAGGTCACGTTTGCAGGCCACCTGCTGAAAATGCTCGCTTTCTCTGTATTCAATACTTGTTGCAGGTCAGTGAAAGTATGGACATCAAAGTCTAAGTCCAGACCATTTTTCTTTGCAATTGTTTTTTTTTATTGAACACATTTTCATTTAAAAACACAAAGACAAAGGAATAAGGGGGAAAAAAACCCCATCAAGTATCGGAGCGAAGGCAAAAGCCCCAGCCAACATGAACATAACTTTGCAAAATGTGCGTCAAAAGTAATTTTGTCAGCTCCAGTAACCCCGTGCATAAAGGAGTATTGGGGAAAACAAGAACACACAAAGGACAGAACAGGAGGGAGAGTAGACAAACAATACAAAGCTGTCGGCCCGCCACCCCACAACACTGCAGGGACATAACACAGGTATTCAAAGGACCAGGGAGACCCGATCGAAGTCATCCAGGAAAAAAAGCCTTGGAACCATGGGTTCCAGACAATGGAGTACGTAGCCCTGGACTCCAAACCATTTTTGCATAGGGTTTCTGGGTCGGTGAATGAGTTCTATATCCACTGCATCATCAATTGCCAGGAAACTAGCATTGTTAGGGGAAAGATAATGGGTCCTCCATAGATCCCCATCATGGGTTTCCTCCCAGACCTTTTCACTGACTTTTACAAGGTGTGAAGCTTCAGGAAAACGTCCACCATACGAGGGCAATAATCGTGTTACTTCCCTAAAATGACTGCATGGAGAATTCATAAAAAGGGGGAATATTGTCGTTCATGGTAGGGATGCACCGATACCGGTATTTTGGTACAGATACCAATTACAGAGACACGGAAGTCCCATTCAGGAAGCCAGGTGGCGTGTAATGACTCGCCACCCGTTTCCCGATTACCAGGAAAGTCTGTCCCCTCTTACCTTGGCAATTCCAGCGTGTCACCCCCGGGGCCTCTCCAACCAGAACGCGGCCTTCCTCCGGTACCCAGCCGGGCGCTGCGTCATTGCATGCTGCCCAGCTTCCTGATTGGCCGGGAAGTCGGCTCCATGCATCTCCTTACACGCTGCCCGGCTTACTGATACTGGAAGTATCGGGCTAGGCATTGGAGCATTTGGGCGAGTACGAGTACTCCCCCAAATACTCGGTATCGGCACCGATATCGATACTAGTATCGGTGCATCCCTAGTTCATGGTTTTTCTAAAATGTGTTGAATTTTTCTAAACCAAGTCATCACATTCTACATTGTTCAGTATTTTGGGAGTCAGAATAGTTCTGTTTTTTCTGCATTGCTCAGGACTCGCTCTGATGGACACGGATGCAGAAGTCTTGTATGTTGGCTGGCCATGTGACAAGCTGCATTTATACTCGTTCAAGTTACTAAATAAAGAGAGCTTACATTTATGGTCAGGGTATAAAGCTGTGTTTGGCTTTCAGGTAATCATACACATTGATTAAAACACTCCATTAAATTAGCTTATTGGGTTTGCTCGGGTTTTTTTTAATTTTTTTAACAGTCAAAGGAAGTCTGAAGTTATACTGTTGCCTACATGAAGGTTTGATATTGGCAAACAAAGTGTATTCCAGCCCAGTTTATTATTCCTACTACTATGAGCATGCTTCAGGTTTATGCTCTTTGCATGAGAGGATGGATATCTTTCCCTTAGGTCTGCTGTCTTAGGGCCATGTCACACCAGCCTGCATGTTATGGGGTATATAATGTGCATGCCAGGTGGAATCTATTAGATCTGTCATTGCCTGTATGGCCTGTGCATTACCTGTTCATGGCCCTGCCATTTGCCCTATCTCTGTACCCCAGGTGTTTAAAGTATTTGTACCATCAAAACAAGGTGGATGCCATGAGAGGCTACCCGGCAGTTGGTGAGGGGGGTCTGTTGGGCAACATACTGTATATCTGACTGTCCAGATGGTAGAGATTTGAGCCTTTAGCAATCACAGCTGGAGATGTCTCATCCCCTGTAATATCCGGGACTTGTCCTGGACACATCTCAGTGTTCTTTCCTCGGGAGAAGCTTCAGACTCTCCAATCTCAGTTTTTGTACTCTAATCCAGAAGCTCGCCAACTTTTTGCATGAGGACTTTTTTTTGTGTGTGTGGTGCCAGCCTGTTAGGATGGGGCAAAGTGAGGGTGAGGAACTTGTTTGTAGGAGGAATCTCTTCCGATAAATATCTTGGAGCTTCAGATGCTTTGCCTGTACCTTCAGCATTTTTTTTTTGCTGGTAATATACGTGCTTGTCTATATGTACAACAGACCATAAAACGGGGACATGCGAGGAGCAAAAGTGGACAGAGGGATTGGGTTCATGCAGAAGGACAGCCCCTTACAATAATACAGTTGGTCCCTGTCCATGTCCCATCCTGTATTTCTCAGCTAATAATTAACATTTGCTTCTAGCTAGAGACATACTTTCCATGGGTTTCCTATATCATGCATTAGCAAATCTTCAGCCAGAAATAGCTTTTCAGCACTTTTCTTATCTGCAAGTCAGGTAATGAAGATTTTTATGAGCCTAAGAGAAGGTATAAATGTCTTCTGCCGATATGTTTGTACATTCCGATCAGGATGGCTCTGGCCTGGGGAAGCCTTCTCATAGTTCTCTCCTCCTTGTATCTTGGAATCTCTTGGGCAGCTGTTAAAGACTTAATTGCAATTGCTGGACCTCTCAGAAGTAACGCCTGGGGACTTGACAATGAAGCAAGGCCGTACGTTGTGTTTGATTGCACTGAAAATGATGTACGTGAGCTGAGAGAGCAAATTACAGTTCTGCATAAGTATGGAGTTACCCACTACAAGATACGTTTAGAGAAGAGGTCCATGGTGAAGGGTGACTATCAAGTGCAGTGTTACCGGAGCCTTCTCCAGGTCCTGACCGAGGCTGGGATCAGACCGATAGCAGTATTACACAGTGGAGATGGGCTACCCATCCTTCATACTGCTGAGAATAACACGTACGTAGACTATGCTGACTTTGCCTTTCGCACGTTTGGGGATCTGGTCCACACTTGGATCACCTTCGATATCCCCAAACATGAGACAACTGTCTCGTTACAGGATCTGCTACAAGAACATGTGAAGATGTCCAGCTTATACCGCAGCAAGTACTCCACAACTGGTGAGGTGTCCTGTGTCATTGTGAATTATTTCTTGTTGAAGTCTCTCATGATATGTATAGGTTGTGGCTTGGTGACCAGAGATGTTGGCTATCTTTCTTTTTAATGCCCCATTTTAAAACTGGTCACTTCATAGAATCTTGCCAGAGGACGAATGTTGGGTTTAGTCATCCATGCTTTGTCAGGTGTTCACCTACTTAAGGTTGATGTGAAATATGGAATATGTATTGATGAGTATCCTGGTCATTGAAAGAGGTGATCTGTATACGGGTATATGACACATCTACACACAAGCTACGTGTTGTAGTCATTACAGTGAGTGAGATTCCAGCCAAAAGCTTTCTTTAGTTTTGGATGGTGTGTTAGAATCTCTGCCAGATATTTGGGAAATTCACCTTTGCTGTTTGTTCTAATGACCGTTACTGACAGAGGAGGCGAGTGCTAATCAGAGAGAAAATACAAACGATTGGAAAGATGGAGAATTGCTTTACTGAAGGGATGAGCTCGTTCATTTGAATAGTTTATTGAGCACATTGAATTTCTTAGTCAGGATATGGATGGGGTGCAAGGTAAACACTTCAATATTTGCACTAGTGACATTTGTCTTTCAATACATAAGAAGCGTAGTGGTAGCTTATTTCATGTCATTGGGTGTTGGCAGAACTGCATATAGCCTCTTCCGGAAGAGCATGGGGGCAGCGTGACAATGCAGAACAGCAATTGGGACAGAGCGTTGACACCCTATAACACAAACTACCTGAACAAGGAACTTTATGGCAGGATTACCAGGTATTATGGGAGCTGCAGCCTTAAAGAGATTGAAAACTACTTTTAAAGTTGCATTAACATGTTAAAGAATATATGAGATTTGAGTGATCGGGTTTACATCTACTTAAAAAACGAACAAAGGTCCTAACCCATCCACACTTTTTTTTTTCCCTTTTGATTAGAGTAGGGGGGGTTATAACCCCTTTCAGATTTTAGTTTTCCATCTGTGTCCCACTGGGGAGATTTCTCTTGTCCTGTCCCCACAAAAAGAGGGAAATCTCTGGTGGTCAGCAGGGTCACCAGAACTAGTGTCCCCATTGGAAGATGTTCTGGGGACAACCGAAAATGTTGGATTTTCTTTCACTCTCAGTGATAACGGTCACCGGGACAAATATAGAGTGTGAATCTCCTCTACGGGGGTTCTAATCCCCTTACACTCTATCCAAAACTTTAAAAAAACAAAAAAAACTTTTGGCTTTAGACCCACTATAAATAAATTGACCTCGCCGACAGATGTTTCATATTGATATACAGTATACTAATTAGCTGTAGACATGCCATAGGTCTTATATACATTCCTCATGGAGTTTGACATAAAGATTGGACAGAGTCCCAGCGAATCATCATAGTAACAACTCATCATATGTGGAATAATGTATCCCCTTCTGTACACTGTAAGATATTTGAATTTACCAAGGGACATTATTCATTACAATACATCAAATCTTATAGACTGGTATATATTATGGGACACATGATGGTGACCCATTCACACTTGTGCTTTAGTACAGTGCATGGCAATGCACCTGCCCTATGAGTGGTGATTTACGGTACCCTTCTTCATGAATGGCGCCCCAACACATAATACAGTAGAACCCAGCACGCCCAAGTGCATATACTGTGTGCATTGCATTGATAAAAAAGGGTCATGCACATTTTTACATCCATGGTGGTGCATTGGTAGGCCATTCATAATTTAAAGTGACATTAAACCCTCAGATTTTTTAACATAAAACAATACTGTAATGTGCGCCTTACTGTAATCCATGGTAGTTTGCCTTCTCTTTGCTGCTCTTCCTTTTAAATCTGTATCTCTTCTCATGCTGGGCAGAACTTCTGTTTTGCAGCAGACTGCCTTGTCTCTGGAATGGCTACATGGTGTCTGTGTGTAGGTTTGCAACCTGAGCCAGCACTACAGGAAGAGGCACTCAGCTGCAAAGGGAAGTTCTCCCCAAGCATGAGAAGACATGAGGATTTAAAAGGAAGAGCAGCAAAGGGAAGGGAAACTACCATGGATTACAGTAAGGCGCACATTACAGTATTGGTTTATGTTAAAAAATCTGAGGGTTTAATGTCACTTTAAGGGCTGCCCTAATGCAACAAACGTTACAGTGTGCTATAACATGCATGCATTAACGTATTCCTGCAACAGAACGCTTAGGTGTGAATGGGCCCTGATGAGCAAAGTCTAAATCTAACTGTAAGTCATTACACCTAAATAATTCCTATTCCTTCTTCACCTGATTTCTATTTGCTCAAGAAACTGCTTCTTCCATCTTCTTCTATAAAGTTATAATACTATATAATGTATAACAATGATTTCCAATGTCCTCTGTGTTTTATCAGGTGGTCAGCTGTCTATTGCTGCAGATCCGGCCATTGTGGACTTATTCCCAACACTTCAAGAACATTTCATGGTAAACTGAACCCCCTCACCAACCATTTATGGCTCATTCACGGGGGCATGCACATTGGTAGAGACCTGCTCCCAAGATAATTATATTTGCATGCAGCCGCCTGTACATCCCTATGGGAGGGAGCAACTGCATGCGGCTATACACTGACCTGAACCTGCAAATCCATGCGAGTCCAGGTGCCCACACTAGAACACAGAGAGTGTCCTCAGACAGGTCTCTGCACGAGCATGTCATACAGATGTGCTCACGTTTGTGGATGGGCCCTTTAGGGTTCATTCCCATGGACACAAATACAGACGTCTGAGCATACAGCAGAAAATACGCCTATATTTTTTGGGGGCATCCGGGATCCCCACCTGTTGTGAATATGTGTCCATAGGATCGTATGGGCACAATACTGGTGTACATGCACACGCGAGTACCGGCATTTACACCGGCAAATGTTCCAGACCCCGCACATTTTGCCTTGGGGAATTTACACATGCACATGTATGCCCATACACTGTGGGAATGAGCCTTTATTCACTTTTTTATTTTTGCTTATTTTGTTGCCTGTGGTGCATAAACTAAAGAGGCAATACAAACGAGTAAATAGGAAAAACATCTAAAAAAAAGGGTGACCCTGCAGAGCCCACCATAGACTCTATCTATGGTGGGCTCTGCAGGTTCTCAGCTGGGCTGGTCACACTCCTTACCTGTCCGCCTCCGTCACCGAGACCCGCCTCCTCCTCCACTGCCAACTCCAGCCTCCTCCACCGCCGCTGCTGGCTCTCACTGACTCAGTAGCGGCTGTGGAGAGTAACGCACCACTGCACAGATCACTGTCAGTGATCTGAACAGCGGCGCGTTCCTCTTCACAGCCGCCAGTGATAGCCAGCAGCATGAGATGCCACAGCGACCCAGGAGGCCCGCAAGGCATCAGGGGTGTTCTGGCCGGGCCCCCCTGTGCCCCGGGCTCCATAGCGGCCGCCTGTTACGCCACTGTGGATATGTACTGCAGTGTTGTGCTTTGCATGCCATTAAAGAAGAACTCTGTGCAGAAATAAAATGAAACCTTGTGGTGGGTCTATCCCCGTACTGCAAGGGTTAAGTACTCATTTTGTCTAGGGAGCTAAAATATCAAAGATACACTGACCAAACATTGATCCCCTCTGCCTGCTGTACCGGTCCCTGCAGCCTCTCTCCTCTTACACTCCCAAAGGTGGTATGTCCCTGTATTGACACTGTATTGGACGTGATGACTCATAGGACCTTAGACTGTCAGAGCGGAGGGAGAGAAAGGTTGCTAAGACAGGTCCAGCAAGACTGAAGGGAAGGCCGGAGTTCAGCTTTAACCAAAACAGTCTGTTACAGTGGAATAAGCTTTAACGTCTCTATATATTTATTTTCCAGGAGTCGTTGGATTTCCTAGCACTGAACCTGGAATATAACTGCAATCATTTTAACCTGCTTCCAACATGGACGGCCTATAAGGTAAGATTTGTGGCCATCCATCAGACGTAATTCAAATACAAACAGGAACACAAAAATAAAAATGTTATTGCAGCTGATTGGCTATGGTCACTGTTCAATGACAGGTTAGCGACATAACCCACAATGCTGCCTGTACAGGTAATGCTAAACAATGGACCAGTCATAAATGTGTTTGCATAGAACACCCGCACTACATGACTGTTGGTAAAACTAAAGAAGATTCACAGTCAGATTCACCCTCCTGACAAAGTGGCCATAAAAGAGCCACGAAACGCGCTGGCCGGGTTTTTCCTCTTATACCTCTCACCGAATAAAAATTGTGGAAAGCCTCCATTTCATCTGTCACTTCCGCCCACCTCTGATAACCACTGACTCACTTTTTGGGGCTTCTTCTTCTACCAACTGTTTCTTTTTGAATTTTCAGAACCTGAAGAATGTGAAAATTCTAGTTTTTGGTTTATCACTGGCCAACTGCGATGGCTACCTGGAGAGCCGGAAAAATCTCATGGCATTTAATATACGTACAGGTAAGAAGAAGTCATATTTTACTATGTTTGTAGCTGCAAGTCACAGGTCCAATCTGAGGTGTCACATGGGCAGTCCATAGCCCTGGGTGAACTATATCTCCAACGACTAATAGCTTACATGGGATAGTCCTTCGATCCCAGTGGCTGAACAGAGCAGTGGGGGAGTGAAACAAAACTTCTGTAAATGGTAAAGTTCCCTTTAAGGGCCGTGTCAATGGGCCTTGGGTTTTTGTCAGTGGCATCAGTTTAAGAAGCTTCTGAGATCATTCAAAAAATCATTGACATCTGCAGTTGACCTCCTTCTGACCTGCATTTTACCAGCTTCAAGGGAGTTTTGCATTCCATAGGAATGGAGTGCATGGTATGGGAGTATGGAAGTGCAAAACCTGATTGAAGCAAACACACAGGCCCTATCGACACAGGCCCTGCAAGGGTGCTCCTTTTAGTTGCAGAGGATCTTATCACCGGGCCGGTGGGGCCCACCATATGAGTTCCTGGAGTATGTACAACTCTCTTGGGTCTGTACGGCCTTTACATGCAACCACGGAAGCCACTTACTCCATTCTCTTTGCATGCCGCAAATTCCCAACAGTAGAATATAAAGTTCCCATGTTAAAGGCTTGGCAGGCAAATCTCTGCCACAGCTCCCAACCCCTCAGGGAAGAGGAAGGAGAGAAGGGAGTTTTTAATCTTCAGTGGGTTGCACAGAATAGTTGAGTAAGCGAGTATCCGAGGGGGAGCTGCTTCTAGGCTGACATACTGTACCTGGCTGAGGTGTCCAATGTCCATTGAGGTTCGGAAGGCAAACGGGCAACATACAGTATAGAGAAATAAATAGCTAGAAAATGAAGACATGAATTTATCATCGATGTCACCCAGTAACCTTTAATGTTCTTCGGCATTGGGTGTAGTACAGAATAACAGATACAAAGCAGAAGTCTGCTTGTGCAGAGAACCAGTCACATCAGGCTCCGCCCCGGAGAAGCTTATAGTTCCTTTTTGTCCCAGACATGCACACCTAGGGCCAGTTTGGTCAGATTATGTTTTTTGAATGTGGAAGAAACCAGAGCCCATAGTGGAAGCCCACACGAATGTTGACTCTGTACTTATGGGAATCGAACCTTTGGTCCCAGGACTGTAAAACTACAGGGTTAAATAATAATGTTTGAAAACTCGTTGCCTGCTCAGTATTCCTTATGGTTATTGATATGATTCTTCTCATCATTTTCAGGCTTGACAGGTTGCTGTACAATTTTCTTTCAAACAGAGCTTTTCCCTCACTCCCTGATTTATTTCCCTTTATTGCTTGCTATCTTGGTGACACCCATCCTGTTACATATTTAACACACAGGGTGTCGCTGAGATGGGAAGTGAAGTGGTAACATACAGTGAATAGCAAATGGACAATGGTTCCAACACCCCTAGACTGTATTTTAGAGTATTTATTGTGTCACTTATGGAGAGTTTTCTTTTGACTCCTTGTCCAAGATCCAGACTTCCAATGACAGGTACAGGAAGTAAGGTGAAATCTCCCCAACAGGAACAAAGACAACAATAAAACCTTACAGGGGGTCTATTTCTTCTCGACTGTATTGAAAACGAGCAAAAATATTTTGGCCTACCCCATGTGTCATTTACATTATCTCTACTTGTGTCTGCAGGCTCCATACATATTACAGTAATTATCTCTGTTTTCTTCTCAGCTATAACTGGGACAGGTGCCACCTTCTTAGGATATGATGTCAACAATTTCCTCACTGCGTCTTCTGGTAAAGTAGGGTAAGTATGATTTGCATTTATTGATGCTTATCTATTGGCTGAGTCAGAAGTTTCCTTAAAACATCTTTCGTGCTGGGTGGAGGGTGTCCCTTAAAGTGGACCTTTACCCATATATTTAAAATAACCACAAAGACCTTTAGAAATGTTTAGTGATGACAATCTACAAACACATACTTCTAGATAATTGACGGCTTTGTATTCTTTGCATACCTTTTTTCACTTTTCTTGCCCAGTCTTCTGACAGTGGCCATGTTTACTAAGGGCAGATTACTAGCTCTCTTTTTAATTCCTGGATGTGACTAGACATGTGAGTAGGACATGTGACCATGCACATCATCTCAGGGGAGGAAAATGCCTTTCCCTGAGATCTTGCAAGATTACAAATGAGATTTCCCAGCAATGCTCTGCTGATGACAAGACACTCTCAGTGTGCATTGCTTTGGCAAACTGAAGTAATTTTCCCCTTTCAAAGTAGGAAGTGAATGCTCTGCAAGTGTAAGTATTTCACAATCACAGCATTTTACACCTGACATGTCTATGTTATTATTAATCATCATACACAGAGGGATGCATTGGTAGAATTTGATTTTTGAGTGTAAAGGTCCGCTTTAATGGTACTTAGAGCTAAATGATTATCAAGACCTGACATTGCAAAATTTAGGATATGAGCAAGAGAGAGAAGGTGCAGGAAGTCACAAAACTTACCAAAAATGTTCTCATGTAGACACATCTTGAAGGCTTTCGAGCCCAGAGCGTGATGTTGATGACAGCCTTAGACAGCTTTGGCTCGCTCAGCACTTAGGAATCATCATCCATGCAATTAAAACTTTAGACCATTACATACCCTGCTAGGGCCAGGAATACCAAGCCCAGTCCACTCAGCAGCGCTCTTCAGGAACCTTAGCATTGCCAAAGCTGTGCACTGATACAGATAGGAAGCCAGGCTCCTGGAGTGTCTTGCTGAATTGGAGATATTTTATTATGTAAAATCATATCATATCCCATCACCGGGATCACAAACTATAGATGTGTTTCACACATAAAGGTGATCAATAAGTACTTGCAAGTGTGAAACGTGTCCTGGACTTGTGATCCCACTGCTGTGTTATGCTATGACTTTACATAATAAGCTATCTCAGATTCAGCAAGACACTCCTGGAGCCTATCTTCTTATCTCTAGCAATGCCATTAAAGACAGCAACTGAGAAGAAGGTTGGATTATGGGAATTTTATCTAAGCAAAGGATTCGAGTCAGTTCCAAGTGTGGAAGATCCCAAAACTAGCAAGCTTACAACAAGGAGAAGGCCAGAGGTTAGGCAGGTGCCTAACTACAATTGCCAAAAGGGAGAACGAGGCCTCGGGGTATGCAGCTGAAAGCATGGCCGCAGCACAGAGGAAGGATTTAGACAATTGTGTAAGCCCACAGTGAATGTCTGAGTTTGGTGGCCCAGTGTTACATTGCCGTATTATATGCACATACTCTCCTTCATGGATATCCTACCTTCAGTCTTCAACAAGAAGAAATACTTTCCAAGTTAAAACTGTACTACCTCCTAGGACTCTCACCTAATATTCCAAAGGTCTTCTGTGTCCCCCAATTAACATTGTAAAAATGAGATATGGTGGACAGACTAGTTAGCTTCAACAGCAACTCTAGGAAACAATCCAGCAAGTGCTTACAATCATCATCAAATAACGTTTTCTAGGAAAGTGATTTCTCTCATTGAAATTCCTGGCACCATAGGAAAATGCAGCTTGTTTTGTGTGTTGCAGATCACAGAGGCAGCTGGGTGGATCTTTATCTTCACGGTCAGCGTATACCACAGTTTGGGAGAAGTTTGCCAACCAGACACCAGCTGAGCGTGATGCCTTCTTGTCTGAACCATTCGGTGGTAGAATCTTGTGGGGTTCTTCTTCCGCGGCCTTCAAAGTAGAAGGAGGCTGGGCCGAGGGAGGAAGAGGGCAGTCTATATGGGACGTGTTTGGACAACAAGGCCACGCTCAAGGCAACGCCACTGGAAATGTGGCCTCTGACGGCTACAACAAGATTGACTATGATGTATACCTCCTAAAGAGTCTACAGGCTAAGGTCCACTACTTCTCCATCTCCTGGTCCCGAATCTTCCCAACAGGGCGCATCTCCTCAGTCAGCGCAGCGGGGGTGAAATACTACAATAAGTTAATTAATAAATTAATAGAAGAAAACATCACACCGATTGTGGCACTCTACCACTGGGATCTGCCTCAGGCCCTGCAGGAGACGGGTGGCTGGCAGAACGAGGCCATTATTGCCGCCTTTGAGGAATATGCTGATTTCTGCTTTAGCAGCTTCGGGGACCGAGTAAAGATGTGGATCACCTTCCATGAGCCCTGGGTGGTCAGTTATGCCGGTCATGGTACCGGGGAGCATGCACCTGGGATTAAAGATCCAGGGAGCGCCCCATTCAAGGTAAAACCTTTATAAATAAAAGTCATAACATTCTTTCTAACTAAAAAACTCAATAAATTATTAATTCCTCATGCACTTATCCTCCATTTATTGTAATTGATGATAATAATATCAGTGATAATAATAATGGTGGAGCTGTCAATTATATGATGATGAACACATCCAATCTGAACCGTAAACAAATACCAACAGAACGCCAACCTCACCACCAGTCAGACAGCAACTCGCCAGCAAAGTAAGGTGCCCTGAGGCTGAACTCCTGCCAGATATAAAAGACATACACTCATTTAGCTCTGTGTTCATGAATGCATCATAAAAGCATATCTAAACCAAAGAACGAAAATATAATAGATTGCAGCTCACCAGTCCTTAGATGTGGTGGCGGCGGCTGAATTAGTTTTCTTTTTGTAGGCTAAGTAGATTTTTTGCAAGTACAGTAAAATTCCTGTTAATCCTGCCAGTAATCCAGTGCCCTTGTAGCACCCTGAGCACTGAAATGAATCTCAAGCAATGTTATCAACTGTCGCCAGTTCACTTGAACTTGTTAACTACAGAACACTGCATCCTATGGTTCAGAGGTGTTTCTAGTCCAAACACGTTTTAACCCAAAGGTCTTTATCAAATCCATGGAATGAAGGTAGGAAATGGCAAAAAAATCCCAATGAGGTTTTTTTTGTTTGCTGCATATGCCCCAATGAGGTTTTTCTTTGTTTGCTGCATTAGCCCCAATTAGGTTTTTTTTTGTTTGCTGCATTAGCCCCACTGAGGTTTTTCTTTGTTTGCTGCCTTAGCCCCAATGAGGTTTTTCTTTGTTTGCTGCATTAGCCCCAATGAGGTTTTTCTTTGTTTGCTGCCTTAGCCCCAATGAGGTTTTTCTTTGTTTGCTGCCTTAGCCCCAATGAGGTTTTTCTTTGTTTGCTGCATTAGCCCCAATGAGGTTTTTCTTTGTTTGCTGCCTTAGCCCCAATGAGGTTTTTCTTTGTTTGCTGCATTAGCCCCAATGAGGTTTTTCTTTGTTTGCTGCCTTAGCCCCAATGAGGCTTTTCTTTGTTTGCTGCATTAGCCCCAATGAGGTTTTTCTTTGTTTGCTGCATTAGCCCCAATGAGGTTTTTCTTTGTTTGCTGCATATGCCCTAATGAGGTTTTTTTTTGTTTGCTGCATATGCCCCATTCAGGTTATTTTTTTAATTTACTGTCTTAAAGTGCAACAGGAAATGAGAGGAGATCTCTCCAGACTAAGGGATATCCCTTCCATTCCATATAGCAGTAAAAGCCTGACAGAAGTTCTAACCAACCCTATCCAAAGCTTGAAAATAAATTCTTGGCTTGACATACACTAGAGTCGTATTTGAAAATGTATACAGTATGTGGTTTTGGAGTCGAGCAAGGCTTTCTATTCTATAAGACTGTTTCTTATGTTATTTTTACAGGTGACTCACAATATTTTGAAGGCTCACGCAAAGGCCTGGCATGTCTATGATGATAAATACCGCCCCGAGCAATATGGGGCGGTGGGCATGTCTCTGAATTCAGACTGGGCAGAGCCGGCAAACCCCAATGACCCAGAAAGTGTGAGGGCTGCAGAGCGATATCTCCAGTTCATGCTGGGATGGTTCGCTCATCCTATTCTAGTGAATGGAGACTACCCAGAGGTTCTGAAAACACAGGTGCATCAGAAGAACGTCCAGTGCCCCAGCATAGTGGCTCCATTGCCCACTTTCACTGAAGCAGAGAAGGCCTATATTCTGGGTACTGCAGACTTCTTTGGGATCTCCCACTACACGTCCCGACTGGTCAATGTCTCCAGCAGCTCTGTTTGTGAGCCCAGCTATGATAATATTGGTGGGTTTACTGCGCACGTGGATCCATCCTGGCCAACCACCTCCTTGCCGTGGATCTCAGTGGTGCCATGGGGCTTCAGGAGGCTTTTGAATTATATCAAGCAAGAGTATGGGAACGCTGGACTGTCAACATTTATAACTGGCAATGGAATGCCAACATCCGATACTGCAGACGCATTCAATGACACAGCCCGAGTGCAGTACCTAACCTCCTACATCAACGAGGCTCTTAAAGGTATTTTCCATTTAATAAGAGATGTAGAATTTAAAAGGCACATTGTGGGCGCAGGGCAGCATGTGGCCTTCTTCCATTTTTTCCGTGGATGCAATACATGGAGCTAAGTGGCAAATCACCAGGCCTAAATTTTCTATCATGTGCAAGGAGGTAACAGAGCTTATGCAGGGTTTAGACGCGCAGCAAACAGAGAGCTGGGGAAGCGTGGGGGCAGGGAAGGTGATTTTTAAGAGAACCTGTCGCTTTGCTCTGTATGGACAAAGAGATAGATTCCCTATAACTTCACCCAAGGGGCTCTGCCTACCTTCATCAGCTATAATTTGTATTTTGGTATTCACTGATTTTGTACAACTGGCTACCATGCTAACAAAAACCCCATGGGTCCTTCCTTCTTTTTTCATTATATTATTTTGTACCCTTGACACTATAGCAATCAGAATTTGTTCTATGTAACGTCATTCTCATGCTGTAGGCCCAGAAAAATCCTCGGATTCAGGGAAAACTTAGCCTGATTTTTTCATTGATCTATGTGTTCCCTAGTAGAAGGCCAGCCCCCTTTTCTGTCTGGGAATGAAAACACTACATCAGTGCTCACAGGGTACTGCGGAGTTGTATTGGGCCCCAGGCCCCTAACCATATCTGCCAAAAACGAATTTGTTTCTGGAGGCCAGATCCCACCCCAGGACAACCCCCAGAGTCTATAGGCTGGTTTCCACTGTCTCCCTCTACTCTATCTATCTCAATGATCCCTTGTCCCATTATCCCAGGACTAACCTATAAGTGTAATCTTCAGCGCTCATGTTAACCCTTGCAAAAATAGAGCGGACACCAAGCTTCCAGACCTTGCTGCATGACAGCCCCTTTTTCTTTATATCTTCCTCATCTCAACATAGAATAAAGAATGCCCACTTGAGTTTTAAATAAGTAGAACTCAAGCTTTACCCCAAACGATGGTAATTGAACAGGAGATTAACACACTGTACATTTCCCTTTACGTTTCCAACAAAATGGCAGAACATTTTGTATTTTGTATTACCAGACATCACTCCTTGCAATTAGGCCAGTGCTTAATTAGCTGCCATAGGCGAACCAACTCCCTAGCTTGCACTTCTCCCATTCTATAGGGTTTTTCCTCCCAATGAGGTACTCACGTCTCATGATGCAGCATAATATATGTCCCATCATAACAGGAACCTAGGCACACACTCCGCCGGGCAAACTCCCCACACTTTACTCTCAAGCCCCACCTTCCTTTTTTTTTATAACCCAAGATAAGGGGCAATGGTTGACAGGCAGGTTGTCTGGAACTGAGGTGGAGGGACCTAGTAACCTAGTACCCTGTCACCCTTTCACCCTATCCTGCCCTTCCCACCTGTTAACCCAGACAGGATGAAAGCCAAGATTTAATCAAAGTCGCCCAGCAAAAAATGTGTGTTTCCCTAACTGATTTTAAAGAGACTGTGTCATGGGGATGAGTGGAAAACTGCGGCAAGTGTAGAGTGCAAGTATCTAGAGTTGTCAATACCTGCATGGCGCTTCCCAAACCCTCCTGTCACAGCCAAATGCCAGACAATGCTGACTGGCCAATATTTCCGGGTAGTATCAGACCTTGGTTCTGAGCCCTGCCCCTACACATTCCTATGAGACCATAACTATGATGAGAACCCTTATCGGCCGATAGAGGTATGCCGAAGCTAGGGAGAGGTGAGCAAGCTTTAGCACAATCAAAAGTGAGATTTGCTCATGACTGGAGGTTTTAGGAGGCTTCTGGTTAAAGATGCCTGCACCTCATAGCTTCAGCAGGTTACTTCCAACCCCCCCTTAGTGTCACTTGAAATGCTCAATTGTCATGCTTGATTGGAGTATCCATGTTGATAAGGTAAACTATTCTGGACCCAGCCTTCATATGCATGCATGTTCTGACTTTTGTGCATCTTTATCCTACCTGCAGCATCCACTACTGATGGTATATTTATAAGAGTTTACATAGTCCGGTCCCTCCTGGATGGCTTTGAGGGCCCTGACGGATACAGCCAGAGATTCGGCTTACATTATGTCGATTTCCAAAACTCAAACAGACAACGGACCCCCAAAGCATCCGCCTATTCATACGCCACCATTATTGAGAACAACGGCTTTCCAAGAATCAAAACTGCTAGTAAGCTTTTCAGTGCAGAGTGGCTGCAGTCTCAAAATCTGGCTCCCCAGCCAGCATCAGAGGTCCCTTCAAAGGCAAAAGTTGTGTGGGAGAGGTTTTCAGGCCAGACGGCCTTTGAGAGAGACATGTATCATTATGCATCTGTTCCAGAAGATTTCAAATGGGGGGTTTCAACATCAGCCTACCAGGTGGAAGGAGCATGGAATGAAGATGGAAAGGGGCCTAGTATATGGGACACATTTACACATATACCTGGAAATGTATTTAATAATGGCAATGGGGACATTGCATCTGACAGTTACCACCAGCTAGATGCGGACTTGTATATGCTTAGAGGCCTAGGAGTGAACAGTTACCGCTTTTCCATCTCCTGGTCTAGAATATTTCCAACTGGGCAAGGCACACCCAATGACAAAGGTGTTGAGTATTATAATAGACTCATTAACAGTCTGCTAGCAAGTAACATTTCTCCAATGGTGACCCTTTACCAATTTGATCTTCCTCAAGCTCTCCAGGATTTGGGTGGCTGGGAGAATGACGCTGTTATTGAAGCCTTCAATAACTATGCTGACTTTTGCTTTCGCACATTTGGAAATAGGGTCAAGTTCTGGATGACATTCCACCAACCTTACACCATTGCAACAGCTGGCTATGGAACTGGTACACATCCACCTGCAGTAAAAGACCCTGGTTATGCTCCATACAGGGTAGGTCACAACTTGTTGAAAGCCCATGCCAGAGTCTACCATACTTATGATGAGAACTATCGGGGAAGCCAAAGCGGAGTGATTTCATTAAGCCTGAACACAAACTGGGTGGAACCCAATGACCGAACAAACCCAAGGGACATCGAAGCCGCTGACCGCTCCCTGCAGTTTAAGCTGGGGTGGTTTGCTCACCCCATCTATATAAACGGTGATTACCCTGAGGCCATGAAGTGGCAAGTTTCCAACAAGAGTGTGCTACAGGGTCTCCCATCCTCCAGACTTCCAGCTTTTACAGAGGAAGAGAAGGCCTATATTCTGGGCACCGCTGACGTTTTCTGTATTAATATCTACACCACCAAAATAGTTCAGCAGAATGTTAACAGCCTGCACCCTCCATCTTTCGATGCGGACATTGACACTGCAGAAAGATTTGATGATAGTTGGCCTACCACAGCTTTTAATGAGGCTTACAGGGCAGTAGCCTGGGGGATGCGGAGGCTGCTTAATTGGGTAAAAGAAGAGTATGGGAATATCCCAATCTATGTTACAGAAAGTGGACTTTCTATGGACAGCAACCCAGATTTTGATGACATTGCCCGAATAGAATATTACAAGACATACATTGATGAAGCACTGAAAGGTCTGTAAAACAGTCTATCTATCTATCTATCTATCTATCTATCTATCTATCTATCTATCTATCTATCTATCTATAGTACCTGCACATATCTCACATTATATTTTTTCTACAGAAGGAAACAGTGACTAAAATAAGTAAAAATAATAAGTAAAAAAAAACACAACACCAGCCGTGTCTTAATGTTAAATGCTAGCATACATTTTAGGCTGAGCAAAGACTTGCTGCTTTAGATTCCTAGATTATGTTGGAGATACTTTTTAAAGGAAACCTGTCATGAAAGGACCATCTACATATTTATGTAGACTTCCTCTGATGACTTCCCTTTGAAAATTGGCTATTTGTCTACTTGTCCTGATGATCCCATGGCGTTAATACTTCCTGAGCCCAGAACCAGTTTGCAGAAAAGCAGCTCTGATTTTGATGAGGTAAAGCCCAACCCTGGGCTCTTTGCTCCCCCCACAGTTACCCAACACCCACCAGCCCCATCACTGTTTTCTGTACCCATTTTTTACACTTACTATTATTCAGATGTCTTCAGGCCATGCACGTGATATGCGATGTTCTCTTCAGACTTTCTTCTGTAATGTGTACAGTCCTTAATCATACAGAGGGTGCTGATGTAATTTTATCCCTCTCTGCATATCATTATGCAAGTGCAGGGCACCATAGTGATGCTCAGTCCAGGACATCCTGCTAGGGATGTTCAGAAACCAAATACCGTACTTGGTACATGTACTGATACTTTTCCAGCTCCAGGAATAGAATAGAGAAAAATTCAAAAAGTTAGGAGGCAGCTGTCATTTTTAATGGAGCATGTGGGGCTCCTGGGATTTGGGCATGCCCGTTTTCATGTATGATTTGTTATATATATATATATATATATTAGGGATGCACCAATACCATTCTTTCCAGACCAAGTACTCACAGATACATGTTTGTTTATTGTCATGTGACAGTTTTCCTACAATAATACAGACTAAAGATTTCAGGACAGTGGTGGAGCGCCAGAGCCATGTCCCAGCTGCAACCGCTGCAACCCTGGTAGTTCTCGTGAAAATGCCAAGTATCGGCACTGTATCTGAACATCCCTACACCCAGGGCCGTCTTTAACGCGGGGCAAAGGGGGCAGTTGCCCGGGGCCCAATCATGGTTGTGGGGCCCAAAGCAGCTGCCCCTTGAGCCCGCAGAAACTTGCCGATCGGATCGCATAGTAAAATACGTTATGGTAGCAGCCGCAATGCCATAACCTATTTTCCTATGCGATCTGCACAATCGCATACTACAGGTGTAGCTCCTCCCCCGCCCGCGTAGCGTGACATGTAAGTGTCACACGGGCCTTTCACATTGTTGCAGCTGGAAATCTATCATACACTGTTTTCTATTCCTAGCGCAACATGATCGCTGTTTTTTTTTTTTTCTTGGTGTTGGGGAGGTGAGATAAATTCCTGGGGGGGGGGGCCCAAGAAAATGTTTTCCCAGGGTCCGATCAGTATTAAAGACGGGCCTGCCTACACCCTGCCATCACTTGATGTCTTCAGTCTTTTGGTTTGAATTATGTTGGGCATCATTCAAGACAGAGGACATCTGTGGTGGAAAGGAATTGCTGCGGGGGATAGTGCTGCACAGTAGAAGAGGTAAATATTGCATTCAGAGCTGCTTTTTTTGTTTTAATCCCCAGCTAGGGATCACTTTTTTTTTAATGTTGCTCAGAGTTGTGCTTTATTGCTGGTCCTGGATTGGTGATTCACATGTTTGAAACCCAACACAGAGACCAGGGAAGGCTTCCACTATATATCTGTTCACTCTTTATAGTTGCTGATTATACATGTATATGGAGGAAACCTTATTTGCTAATCACACATAATACTGTGCTCATTGTTTAGTAGAGGAACATAGCGACTATACTTCAGTGTTCTTCTTTTTCCATAAAAGCCGGTTGACAGAGCTTTTGCACATTTTTACAGTCTGTCTGTTTCTTCTTTTGTGAAGCTTACAGCCTAGATGGCATCAATCTGAAGGGTTACTGTGCGTGGTCCCTATTGGACACTTTTGAGTGGGAACAAGGATACCGACTACGGTTTGGTCTTCATCATGTGGATTTCAATAATCCCAATCGGCCAAGGACAGCCAAACGCACAGCTATCTACTATGCAGAGGTGATACGCAACAATGGAATAGTACAGACTAGTGATGATATATTCCTTTATGATGAATTCCGCCCTGACTTCGCTTGGGGTATGGCCTCCTCTTCTTTTCAGGTAAAGTGATGGCAGTTATCTGGAAATAACTTTTATTCATGCTTTTGCTGACAGGCATAACCATATCTTTCCCTATCAAACTGTAAAGACCAATTAGTTACGTACCAGGTTGCTGTAGGCATGCCAGGTAAAGATAAACTTTGACTGGTTACTTTGGGTTGGTGATGGACTATAATTTCAATACACATTAGTCAACTAAACCTGAGATTGTAGTCCATCACAGGAGTGATCTTAGAGCGGTGACTACTTTACAACACACACAGGGACCATGGGGAACAAAAGTAGCCCCCCTCCAGAAGGAAGGACAGTGTCGGCACCAATTCAGAGATGATTGGAGGATCTACAGCCGAGTGATACACAAATAAGATACATTTTTGTTAATAGTTAAGGTACTGAAATGCATTTTTAAGATTTAACTCCTGAGTTTAGTTTTTTTGAGGTTTAATACTTCCCCACTTTATCCAAATGTAGAAAAATAAATATTGGCTAGAGATTCACTTTAAATAAACCAGAATGTTTCATCTGGTGAAGAATATTTAGAAAAATGGAAATATTAAAATAAGGTTTAACTAAATTAATTAAATAATCAGATTATTTTTAGTTATACTTGATCATTCAAAGAGATGGATACAATTGCTGAATTTAGAGCTAAGAGCCAACAGGCATTTTGAAGGCACCCGAGATTGTGAAATTGATATATATTGTGGCACAGGAGATTTAGCATTAAGGTTTTTTTAAATGTAATTCCACATTACTTTCAAATATTCGAATTGGCAGACTAGAGGCTTTTCCCCCTGTTTATTTAAGGGAAGTGGTTAGGACATCATGAGAAATGCCTCTTGCGTCTCACTTGCCCTAGAAGTGAGCAAAGTCCAGGTTTACGTGAGAGAAGGAGGGTTTCCAGCACCCAACAGAGCCACATCATGTGTAAATGGCCTTCTAAATTACCAGAAGGTCCTTGTTGGACAGTGCGCACAAATGGTGCATGCACCCAATTGAGACAGCTAATTAAATTGCTAGTGTACAACTCCATATGTACTCAGGAATGTATTCTGCCCTAACTCCATGTTCTTTCTGATTTGCAGATTGAGGGAGCCTGGAGGGCGGACGGGAAAGGGCTCAGCATCTGGGACCAGTTCTCACACACAGAGTCAAAGATTGTAGATGGGAGCAATGGAGATGTAGCATGCAACAGTTACTACCGTATTGATGAAGATGTAGAGATGCTGAAAAGTCTGAGGGTCACCCACTACCGCTTCTCCATCTCCTGGCCGAGGGTTCTCCCAGACGGTACAAAAAACTTTGTGAATGAACCAGGGCTCAATTACTATGTTCGATTTATTGACGCCTTACTGGATGCCGGTATCACCCCCCAGGTAAATCAAGAATATTTTTTTTTCCTATTGTTGACCATTGGTAGGTAAATGTGCTGCTTCAGGCTTACGCTAGTGCTGGTCACATGACCAAAAGCGTAGACATTTGGGTATGTGGTTACTGCTGACGGTGAGGATCAGCCAACCTGAACATTAATCCTTACTTTCAGCAGAACCTTCTTACCATGTTACTGGACGTTTGTTCCTGGAACCACCACTTAAGTGATACTTTACAATGCAAATATTTCTTTATATCCAGGTGACAATATATCACTGGGATCTGCCGCAAGCTCTACAGAATGTAGGTGGCTGGGAAAATGAAACCATAGTGGAGAGATTTAGAGACTACTCAGATGTGCTCTTCGAGAGACTGGGGGACAAAGTGAAGTTCTGGATCACCCTGAATGAGCCATACATCATTGCCTATCTGGGATATGGGGAAGGCTCATTTGCACCAGGTAAGGGTAATGAAACAAAATATTACATTGAGTTGATTTATCCATGGAGTATACGGTATGACTTAAATGTGAAGGTTGCTGGAAAAGGGTAAAACTGACCATTGTCAAAGCTTTTGTTGTATGGCAGCTTTAAGAGTAATAGAACAGCCTCTATGGGGGCCTTAAAGCTTGACACTAAATAATAAAAAAAAAAAAAGTATTTACTGGAAGGTAAGTAGGGATCCCCCCCCCCTCCATACTCTTTAAAACGTAACATATATGTATATATGTGGCTTATTTAGGTGCTAATTAGATTAAGTCAGTATCTTACCTTAACTTATATTGCCACAGAGCCTGGATATTGTATGGCAACCCAAGGGGTAAGGCTGCAGTATTATAACAATTCAAGAGCGGAGATACTGAATAATACTAATGCTAGTGCCCCATCGTTGGTGTTAGTGGGAGGAATAGGGTCTCATCATTGGTATTAATGGAGGGAATAGTGTCCTATCATTGGTATTAGTGGTCGGAATAGTGCCCCATCATTGGTGTCAGTGGTGGGAATTGTGTTCTGTCATTGATATTAGAGGGAGGAATAGTGTTAACTTCTATCATTGGTATTAGTGGGAGGAGTAGTATACTATCAGTGGTATTAGTGGGAGGAATAATGCCCCACCATTGGTGTCAGTGGGTGGAATAGTGCCCCAATGGCCATTTAAAGGCAAGCCACAGTTTTGAGACCACTCAAAAGCCATGCAGTTATCTTTATTTTACAATAAGGAATGGTTGAACCCATGTCAGGCTTTCTTTTTTCCGTTGTCCCGTTCGCTTACTGTTCTCTGGATGCTGAAGGAAGTGAGCGGAAATCTGTTTAGGTAAAGAAAGTCCACTTTTAGACAGCTGCCACCAGAACAATTGCCCCGTTGGAGGATCCCCCTTCTATTTCTGTTGTAGTGATACATGCACCTTGATGTGACCCTTTTGATCCTTAATGTTCTCTTGCTGTTTCAAGGCATAAGGTCCCCCGGAGTTGGGGTGTATGTGGCAGGACACAACTTGATAAAGGCTCATGCTGAGGCCTGGCACCTGTACAATGACAAATACAGAACCACACAGGGAGGACAAATCTCCATCACCCTCAACTGTGACTGGGCTGAACCCATCAATCCGTACAGGCAGGAGGATGTGGAAGCAGCACAGAGATACTTGCTGGTATGTTGTATCTGTGTGAAGTTTAAAAGGGTTTTTCAATAGTACAAAATGCAGTAGCCTACAACAACCAATCAGCACTTATGTTTCCCAAAAACGAGACCAGTGTACAAAAATCTGATTGGTTGTTAAGCACTTTTCAGCACAGCACTTTTCAGAACAACATTTTGCATATTGCGATTGCTCTCCTCAGTGATGCTTTAAATAAGACTGATCGCTTATCATGTGTCAACAGTAAAGCAATAGCTATATCCAATATGGCACCGTGCAAAATGCAGCACAAGGTCCTAGGTTCAGTGCCCAGCAGGGATGCTATCTATATGGTGTTTTTCATGGTTATCTTCCCAACAGTGGCGTAACAACCTGTGTTTATATAATATGGGGGGGGGCAAAAAAATGTTCTGCCCCGGGCGCCCATAACTCTGGTTACGCCACTGCTTCCCAACTATTCCCACGATCCTAAACATACAACATGGGGAAGCTAGACATTTTAACACACCTGGAAGGCTTGAGAGGCACTTAAGAGTCATCACCCAGTGATGAAATGAAGCCTCCCAAAGTCGTTAAGAGATGCTCTGCATCTTACAGATACTCCTGAGACTGTGTTGCTTTAAAATGGTTGCAAGTTACTGCTCCTTCTCACAATGCAAGTCTTTGAGTCGCTTGATTCATTCCATTTTTGTTGTTAATCTGTATCCCTGCAATTAAATAGTATTTCAGCAGGACACAAGGGAGAAGCTGGGGGAGGGAACCAATGTGGGACCTTTAGTTTTATATGATAAATGTACCAGTATGCAGTGGGGAAGCTAGACATTCTGTCACCCGGGGCAAAGTCTTAGAGTTGCTCCCTCCCCCAAGCGAGAAGTTCTCCATCCACACACCCAGTGGAGCTTCTCCTAAAGGGGCACCCGGGGCACATGCCCCCCCCCCCCCCCAGCCCACCTTGCTTCGGCATGCAAATGTAGCCAAATATTATAGAGCCATTTTTTTCAAACTGTATACAGATGCTATTTGGCCATCATCAGTGCAGTGTATGGAAATCATGGCTTCTATGGAGTAGAGACCCAACAAGACAATATAACCATACAGGTTACAATGAGAAGAGACAAAAGTAGTCAAAAAGCCCCCTAACTGTTTTGTGCAGTAATTGGGTTGTAGGGCTTCTTGATTTCTTTAGTGCCTTCTCACCATAACCTGTATGGCTATTATGTCTCATAAATGTACCCGGAGGTAGAAGGTATTTTCTTATTGGAATGATCATGCAAACATGTTAAGGTGAACTGTATATATTGTACAACATCCTCAGGGGCATTTAGTCATCAAATTAGAAACACAGTGAGATACAAATGCGGCCTCTCATTCATAGAGCAGTTTTTCTGTGTACTTGTGACCTGTGCACTTGTAACCTGGGCCAGCAAATTGCAATATATATGCCAGGTCTGCAACAGATTTATCACTAAATATAAGATTTTTTACTCTAAACAGACGCACAATTAAAGGAGAACTATGGGGTCAGGGCTTTTCCTCATAGTTCTCCTTAGGGTAACGGGAGGACACAAACTAGCGTCCTCCCTTTACCCTAAGCTCAGTATAGCTACAGCTCGCGGTATGCTGAGACGCCGCAGCCGGAGCGGATCCCGACATCGATGTTGAGATCCGCCCAGCTGCGTGAGTGACAGCTGGCTCTGCCTATCTAGAGGGAGAGCCAGCTGTACCCGCCCCCTCCCCGTCCATTCCGCCAGTCAGCGCTGGCGGATCGGAGCGGGGGGAATCCAGCCCCTCCCCTGTCACGGCAGAGAGCCGTGACAGGAGCGAGAGATGAGCGAACGCCGGTATATGTTCGCTCACCTCCCGATCTACTGAGCCGACCTGTGACAGTCTCATTGTCACAGGTCGGCTAGAACTATGAGGTGAGTGAAAAGCACTCACCTCATAGTTCTCCTTTAAAATGTGGTCGGGTTTTATTGTGTCGCAGGGCTACTTTAAAGCGGCTGAGGTAAGAATTTATTACTCAAGCTGTAACCTCGTAATAAATATGACGCACAATCTGCCGCAATGCCCCTGTTTAGTATTGCCTGTGCTGTGCAACAGAATTAATAAATGTCCCCCACTGTGTATTCAGAGACAGATTCCCATCATTGGAGCCTGTAGGCACACAATAGCCAAATAGCTGTCACTTCCTCTTCATACAGAACATTTTCAGTTTTTACAGGTGACAACCTGGCCTAGTATATTATGACAAAGAGTAAATTAGGTTATATGGCTGCACTTCTAGTGATGGGTAAAACTAGATGAGAAGGAAAAGCCTTTCTCTTTGCCTCCTATAGGCACAATCCTGCTGTGTGCCTAATAGTAAGTCCAGCCCCATGTGTGTTCCATTATTTAGATAATAGAATCTTGTTATCACACTAATTATAGTTCTTTATGCTTTGCCCTAGTTTTTCGGTGGTTGGTTTGGATACCCGATATTCAAAACAGGGGATTACCCTGACGTCATGAAGAACAATGTGCGTGAAAGGAGCCTTGCCTTTGGACTGCCTCAAAGTCGGTGAGCAAAATGATTGCTACACGTCACGTGTACCGTATGCACAACAACCTTTGTGACATGTTACATGACAGCTAAATAGAGAATGCAGAGACCTTTGTTATGTGTTACATGATACATGAGTACAGTATACACAGTCCAGTTTTCTCTGTGGATTATAGAACGCCTCCCCTATATGTAGTAAACTATTCCTATTTTAGAGTGACAATACTGCTACTTCATTCGTACATTAAGTGAGCGTTGTCATCCTAGTACAGGAAATGTGTTCCTGGCAGTCTCTACAGGTGCAAATAAGGGGTAAAATAAGCCTGAAAAAAAAAGAAAACTAATGCAGCCACCACATCTAAGGACTGGTAAGCTGCAATATATGAAATTTATTGGATTTAGATACACTTTAATTGCACTAGGTGACATCATTCCAAAATAATTGCTCAAACAAGGAAGGGGATGATCGAACTGGTGACTGATAGCAGCTGTTTGCTAAACAGTGTCCCTATGGGAAAGCCAACCACTTGAGGCCACCATGAGTACAGTTTTGCCATAGGAATAAATGAGGCCACGGCACACGTGTGCAGTATGAAGCATCTATTTTTGGGAGAAAGGCTGTGTGGTTCCGAACAGGGCATCAGGGTAAAGATTGCTGGATCGGGGGGCTGAAGGTAGTAGAAAGTAGTGGATGTAGTGGTAGTGGAATAAGTTAATAAAGGACAACCGTATAAAGGTACAGGCGTCCCTCAACGTTACGCTTTCCGTTTTTTTTCCTCAGTTTGCCAGAGTTCACAGAAAGTGAGAAGCAGAGGATTAAAGGGACATACGATTTCTTTGGCCTGAACCACTACACTACTGTCCTGGTGGGACGAGCCGTCTATGAACTACATTACCAGGCTTATGAAGGAGATAGGTAAATGTTAACAAAGTGACATTATTGTGGTGACTATTCCAACATCACTTAGATATACATGGTCCAAACTCACCATGGACTGACCAGTTGGGCTACTTGGGACTTCAGCTCAGCAAGGTGACCTCTTCTGCTACATATTTGACCATTTGTGGTGAGTTACGCAGGTATAGTAATTGGCTTATTGTATAGATGGCCTTTGACTTTGTAGGTTGTCAATTATCAGTGGAGAAGGTCTAAAATTGGTCTGTCAAAACATAAATAAAACCAAAAGCCAGTTTGAATAGTAAATCTCAGTAAAGCCACATTTACACAGACATAACACTCTATGGGCTCAATGTGTACAAACAACCCCCCAGCTTTGACAGCTGTCATTGGCTGTAGGCGGACCTCTGTCCAATTCTAGAGTACGCAAAAGTTCCTACAGGGCACAAGGCAAGTCACGTCATGACACTATGATTTTTACAAAGAATTAAGACACCTTATCCAAGCAAGGCCATAGTTGAGAAGCCCAATTATCAGACTGGTAAAATAAGCCATTGCACTTGAAACTTTCTGATGATAGCCAGCGGTGACACAACAATGGCAGTTGGCTGTGTTGCCCAGTTACATACTTTACTAGTCAAAAATTTGCATACAAATGAAATAAACAGAAATAAAACCTAGAAATTATCAGAAATATGATCTATCCTTAAAGAGTCCTGGACAATGAAACCTCCATATAGTTCCTGAAATCTGTCAGGGCCTCAAGGCCCTCTTTGGCCACAGCCCTGACAAGTTGACCATGTATCAACCGCATGCCATACACAGGGGGAAGCACTTGCAGACCAGTTCTCTTCCTGATTGTTTTTTTAATATATACAATTAAGTAACTCGCCTAGCAGAATGGAAATACCCAAGGTGGGCAGAAGCAGATTGAGGAAGCTACCAGAGAAATCGCATAATCAGCCCTTAAGAAGCCAGGCAATGCCACTAAGCCATGCCTTCAAGTTTACTACAACCTTTTGCATGGCTTGGTTTATTTCAAATCATGCAAAGCAAATAACGACAATTAGAAAGGCCTGTATTTGGAGAACATGTAACAACCTCTCCCAAATCCCTCCCTGAAGCACAACGTTTCTTTTTTTTTAATATAAAATGTTTTCTTTACACTGCTGTGGAAAGCAGAAATCACCAGCACTCAGTAAATATCTTTGATGTCCATTTAATCGGACCAATCGTCAATTGTCATGTACAAAATAGCGGCATTTCGGGACGGCACAGGATCCGTCAATTGACGATTGGTCCGATTAAATGGACATCAAAGATATTTACTGAGTGCTGGCGATTTCTGCTTTCCACTGTTTGTTACACGGTGCCATCCGTGATTGTCACTGCGAGCACCACTACAAGTACTTGGGCCGGGAGCGCTGTGAGGAGTGCAGAGATACATACTACTTTCTACGTTCTTTACACTGCTGACTTCTGTGTTTTTATCACGACAGAGAAGTCTACCTATGGAGTGACCGTACCTGGCTTGGGTCAGGCAGCTCCTGGCTGAAGGTGACTCCTTTTGGCCTGCGAAGATTATTAAACTGGATAAAGGAGGAGTTCAACAATCCCCCCATCTATATAACTGAGAATGGAATATCCGAACGTGAGAATAACCTACATGATGTGTGGAGAGAGCACTACTACAGATATTATATCAATGAGGCCATGAAAGGTACGAGACCGAGCATATAATTAAAAAAAAATTATCATGCATAACCAGCGGTTACCATCAGGGAAAACTTGACAAAATGGTCAGTAGTATACTTCCCAACCTTCTGGAAAGGGAAAGGATACATTTCAGCTGAAAATGTTTAGGCAAGGAACATATACTTGTCATACAGCCTCACCCATGATCACCATGATTAATTAAAGTGTATCTAAAGCTAAGTCGAAAGTTTAAGTGGAAGGGGGATCATTAGAATTTTAATGTTTTGAAAATATCATTAGCATTTAGACCCCAATCAGACGTATGCCTTGTGGTGATGTCTGTGATTTACCATACATTACCCCAATGCACAGTAACACACAAAGCAATGTGCGGTGGTTCCATTCATTATACAATGGCAACTCAATACACAAGTACAGTAGGTGCCTACAGACCTGCACTGCAGCCCACCATGCTCCAAACTGCATGCCATACACAGTGGGAAGCACTTCCAGACCAGTCACTGCCGCTGGTGAGCTTGTGTTGCAATGGGACATGACCTTCTCTTTTCTGGCCCCAGCAGCTCACACTACCTCCCTACTCCATGGATTCTGCTGTGGCTCACACAGGAACTGTAATCAAAGACCTGGGAGTTAACACCACCAAACCCCCACCCAACCCCCACCCAACCTTTGTTGCCCACTGGGAGCACTGCTGCCAGCATCAGGAGCTACAGCTCCACTCCACACTCAACACCGTATCTGCAACCTTCTCACCATCATAAAACCCCACCAGCGCTGCACCTTCATGCCAACCCCGCCCCCACACTATCACCACCAAAGCTGACCCCGCATTCTCCTCACTCACCACTGTACTGATACCTATCTCTGTGCTGGCTACCACTAAGTCAATGTGCACTCCCGTGCTTCCCACCACTGCAGTGACACACCCTTCTCTATTCAGCCTGTTCAAGGAACGGGCACACTTTTGCTAGTACACTTTAACAAACAGGAAAGATCAATTAGATTCACTGCAGACTTGTAACCACTAGTTTTCCTTTACATTAGCATTTAAAAATGACCAACACAATAATCTGTCAGCAGCTTTTAACATTTCCAATTGCCTATTGTGTAATCTAAAACCAATATTATGGAGCATTTTCATTGGTTTCAATACTATTTTATCATGCATTCTACCAATTTCTTCTTCTTCACTCTTTCGTAAACATAAGAAGTATTGATTTACGTGTTTTATTCTTGTATTTTCTGTCAAATCTCAGCTCTGATGAAGGGGACGAGGCTTAAGGCTTGTAACGCATTGGCTGTGTATAGATTAAAGTAAACGTGTGTCTGGACTGCAATACCACTGTGTGGTGCTTCAATTCTAGATTCCCTCTGTGGTACCGGCACCATAAGGATACCGGCTTTGGAGACTGATGCTTTAAATGGAAACTCAGCAATGGCAGCTCCCATGTTTTTTGTCTTCATAGATTCCTCCAGTTGGACCCAAATGAGATTTATTAGTTGTTAGCGGAGTAGGAAAGAGTTTGATCCTCCATTGGGTCTTCACTGCTGCCTGCCCCATTGAAAAGAAATTTCACTAAAGGTGGTGCTGCCGTGGCAAACTTTAGCTTAAAGCTGTCACATCTCTTCTAAATGTTAGCATGGCACACAATGTAATACGTCTTATTGCTGCGATATCTTGTGGCGTTTCCATAATATTTTATTGTAATTTCACAACCCATTGACAACAGCATGCCGAAAGAGCTGAGCTCCTTGCCTTCACTTGCCGTGTTCGGAGTTGGGGAAATCTCTCCACTGGGGTCATGAATAATGAAGACTCAAATAAGCGAGCAAGCTTAGCCCAAAACTCACTAAAAATGGAGACGTTAAGGTTTGGGTGAGGTTACCCTTTACATTTATGTATTACAAAATGCTTCCTATTGGCTGGGACCCTAACAGAGTAAGGAAAGCTAATGAAAATGATGGGCATGGTATTTAAATCCAAATTAGGAAAGTAATCTGACAATTTAAGATAATTGTTTATCTTCTTTCCCATACAGCTGCCAAACTGGATGGGGTGGACTTGCGTGGTTACTCTGCCTGGAGTCTCATGGATAACTTTGAGTGGGCATCTGGCTACACGGAACGCTTTGGTCTTTACTACACCAACTTCTCGGACCCGGGTCTGCCTCGCATTCCCAAGGATTCTGTCAAATATTACAGATCCGTTGTTAGATGTAATGGTTTCCCCAATCCTCGAAATATCTCTCATCCTTGTTTCCAACCAGATAATTGGCCTGAAGGTGAGTCCAGGGGAGTGGTGTTCTACCTCCCCTTAGTGTCATGCTAGGTCATAGTGACTATGAAGAAGTGGATCAACTTGCTGTATCTGCTACTTCCGTCATTGGGGAAGATAGATGGGGCTTATTTATTGTATGTGCTCAATCTTCTACTGCCTAATCACCACAAGAATACAAGGAGAGCTGGGATTTTTAGCAATGGGAGAGAGCAACAGAGCAAGCAGACTTTCATGAGAATGCCTAAACTGCAATGTACCTCCCAATTTCCTGAGGTTGGAAAGAGGGATGCCCTTTAGTATAAAGCATGTAGGCAAAACACAAACAACACCACACCACCAGTTACATGGACCACAAAGAATTAATAAGTTCTTTTTTCACCTCTACTTTTCTTTTATACTGATACTGGCAATTTTAAATATCAAATGCAATAATTTAGAGTTTGGACAACAGGTTAGTGCAGTCAGGGGCGTAACTAGAAAACCCAGGGCCCCATAGCAAAATTTTGTATGCCCCCCTAACCATGACGATGTGGCACCGCAATATGGTGCACGTGTATGTTATGTGTGGGGGGGGGGGGGGGGGTTGGGCTTTTTTTTACATATTACACATAGTACTATGTGTCCCCTGTTATTTACAAACACTGGGGGGATCAGACGATCGCTCCAGTGTTTGTCCTTCACACACGGAGGACCGGTAAATATCAATGATACTTACCAATCCTCCGCTTGGCCACGCACAGAGCCACTGTCATCCTGAAACTGACAGGAAGACAGCGGCTCCGCTCTCCTTCCGGCCTGCCGCTCTCTTATGACGCTCGATCATCATGATCGAGCGGCTCGCTCCACCGCCTCCCCGCCGGCCATTTGTATTCGGATCCGCTGACTCAGCCCATACAAGCGGGGGATAGCAGCGGGGATCTGGCCCCCCCCCCCTCCGTCGTGGGCCTCATAGCGACCGCATCGGTCGCTATGGTGGTAGTTTCGCCACTAATAACATTTTTGGGTGTTAAATAATACATTTATTATAGAGGTCTATACATCAGACCAAAAATAAGGACACCTGTGGAGGAGAGAGGGGCCAAGGGATTTGGCTACAAATGACGGTCTATTGGCTACCATCCACTCGACATAGAAGGAAAGCCTTAAATTGAACCAATCTACCCCACCGCTTATAATTAACTAACTTAATATGATGCATTGGAGACTCCAGTTTCCAAGACTGTAAGCCATGTATTCTTATTCCTAACTCTGGCCATTTTGGCTTCTTGTGATCTCAGGCAGTGAGAGAATGGGAGGAAAGTTGCACAGCACAGGAAGGCTAAGAGAGCTATTAGAAAGATTATGCAAGGCAGAGGCATTGATTGTTTTTTTTTGAGCAGCCAATCAGTTGCTTACCCAGAAGCTCTCCCTCTCAGCTAGCCTCGAAGGAATGTTGGTAAACTAAGAGCAGGGGTGGATGCACCATGTGTGCACAATGCAAATGCACGAGGGCCCCCTTAGATCTAGGCCTATGTATCTGTGATGTGGGCTGGGAAGGTACTGGGATCCTCTCTTGCCATCACATAGACCTGAACACTGCTCATTTCCTAGGAAGGTAAGAAATGAGCATGCTTCATGATTCGCCTAATCGTTCTTCATAAATGAAATGGGGGGGTGGGGTGTCAGCATTTTTTTTTTTTTTACATAGAGGCCTTGCTGATTATGTTTGACAGAGGTCCAGAGGGAGTCTGCTGCGAGAGATACGTATTTTAGGGATATCTGTTTTGATGGCATGTAAACATGTTCACCAGTGGGTCAGGTGTGGCTGCTGTCATCACTAGAGGCATTGATGGGCTGCCTCTGCCAGAGTAGCCAATTGGTGATTCTACCTCACCCAGATCCAGACACTTGTCATGAATGTAAATAGAAAGCAGCTGGAAGGATCAGGCCAATGTAGAATGGAGGAATATGGTGCCATTGGTCTCAGTTGCAGATTTTGAATAGTCATCAGGGGGTGAGGGGGTTGCATAATTTGTGTAGGTCCAGTGACATAAGCACAGACAAAGAGGAAAAATACTCCTTCAGTAACAGAGTCCCTCACAGAGACTCTTTACATTAGCTATGTAACAGTACCTAATTGTTAAAGAATAGCTCAGCTTTTTAGAGAATTACCTTTTTTTGCCCTGCAGAGACAACCACCACCACCACCACCAGAGGTACTCAAACAAGCATCAGCTCTGGACCCTCAGAAGAAACAGAATCCGTCAGTTTCCTGGGACTGGGCATCTCTACAAAGGATGCCTCCATCGCTTTGTACGTGGAGTTTGCCCTGTTACTTGCCTCTGTCTTGGGAATTATCTTATATGTGGTGATACACATAAAAAAGGGCAAGAAGACAAAACTAACAGACTTATAACTATTTGTTGCTAGTGTATAGAGCTTCCTGAATGAAATGAAATAAAATGACTCCAAACTAATACTGTGTTATTTTATTTGTCTGTGACTTCGTATAGTCAACTACAAAACCATCCCAAATGTAATATATATGTAAACCCTTACTACTTCTAAGGTTCAAGGCACCTCTAGGTGTCTACACACATTTCCATATTCTTGGAAGTGCCCAGAACCTTACAATCCTGTGGGGCTGTACAAAGGAAATTGCAACCATCGCTTGCATGGTGTCTGTGTAGTCCTTCACATTCCTACTGCCTGTACCCTCCTATTGACCAGTGAGAGCACAAACGATGTTGCTGGCCAATAGGAAGGTGCAAGAATGAGGGACCACCAGGCAATAACTGGTTGCAATTTCCTTTAGAGAGTTATGAAGGACTTTTAGATGCTTAGGTGTCATTCTAATAAGCTTAATAAACAAAAAGGTACATTCAAGACAGAAAAGAAGCCAGATCAAAGTAAAAGGCCAGAGTTTTTTTGTCAGTTGTGTATACAGTAGAGTAAAGGGTGGTTAAAACCCCAGTTTGACATATTTGTTGCCTGTGTCCCATTGGGAAGAATAGCATTGCCTGTCTTACAGATAAAATAAGAAGTAAGAGTAAATCCCCCCAAGGAAAGGGAAATGTCTTCTAAGACAGATGTCACCAAAACAAGTGTCCCCATTGGAAGAATTACATTCTATTCCTGTTTTAATGGCAGCTCCAAGTGTTGTCTTTCCAATCAGCTTTAGTCCTGGTCACTAGGGCAAATAGCGAGGGTGGATGTCCCTAATGGGGACCCAGGCATCTGTAACAACCTAACAGGGATTTTAATTTCTCCCTACTCTACCCAAATCTGAAAAAGGTTTTGGCTTTAGATGCACTTTAACATGCTTAAGGAAACTTTCAAAGTTGTCCTACTCTCTTGACCTCACCCCCTGAGCTTGTGCAGTCCACCCTTTCTCCCTAAGCTCTATGCTTAACGAGCAGTAAGCAGTAAGGTCTTTGTAAATCATTTTAGGGGGAAATGGTAGGGTGCATCAGCTCTGGGGAATGGGGGCAAAAGGGTAAGGAAACATTTTTTTCAAAGTTTCTTTACCCTCTAAACTGCCCTATCCATACAAATGAAAACTAATGCAGCCACAACCCACGAACTGGTAAACTGCAATAGATTCCATTTTTATTGTTTTTCGTTACCCCTTAATCCGAGTTTTATATAATCTCCAGAGTTACTGTCAATATTCATTTAAAATTAGTACTGATAGAAAATACACCATCATTCCCCTTTAATATTTCTCCATAATCAATCACATGATTAGACAAGCTCATCATACCTGCAGATTTGTTGATTAACAGATTGCAATAAAGGCTAAAGTTCTCTATAACTGGGGTCAAAGACCAAAGGGATCCTGATAAGATATAGAAATGACAACACTTTAACAACTGAATAAATACAACAACGTGTCATCTGATAAACATGATATATTCTTAGTCCTTTGAATTATTATCTCCCTTTGTTGGATTTTTATGCTGCGTAGTCCAAAAAGGATCATGGGATGCAGAGAGAATTAACTATTTTCCCTGGAGGTTCCAAGATTCTTACTGGCCATCGTGGAGCAAAAATCCCACTATCACTATCACCCCGAGTTTGAGGAGGTCCGGGATCCTCATCTGAATTATAAAATGCCAAGATTACCTAAAATTGCAGCTGGTAAATGTTGCTGGGATAACTGCTGGATAGGCTCCCAAACTTCTCTCCTCTTCATGAATAGTATTTCTAAATGCAGAACCCTATTTCTACTGTTTGCCCCTTATTGTTATAGCCATTATCTCATGAGATAAGTGAGGATAAGCCTGAATAATTATTAGTAACCCATAAGCCTTGTGCAAATACTTCCTAGTGCTAGTGCTTCCCCACAACGCATCATTAGGGTGTTCATAAACATTCCTTCTGAATTCACCTTATGCTCCTACATAGAAAGTTTTGCTGTCCTGGAGAGACCTCTACCCTGCTTTCCAACAAAGGACCATGGCCCTGGATCTAGAAGTTTTGATCGTCAATCCTGCTATGTCATATTAAAGTCACTAAACTCAGGAGTTAAATCTTAAAAATGCATTCAATTACCCTCTGTTAACAAAAATGTATCTTATTTGTGTATCACTCGGCTGTAGATCCTCAAATCATCTCTGAATTGGTGCTGATACTGTCCTTCCTTCTGGAGGGGGGCTACTTTTGTTCCCCATGGTCCCTGTGTGTGTTGTAAAGTAGTCACCGCTCCCAGCTCACTCCTGTGATAGACTACAATCTCACATTTAGTTTACTAACTTGTATTGATATTGTAGTCCATCACGGGAGTGAGCTTGGAGCGGTGGCTACTTTACAAAACAGACTGACCATGAGGGACAAAAGTAGCCACCGTCCAGAAGGAAGGACAGTGGCAGCATGAGTTCAGCAACCATATTTAAGCTGTATTAGCAAAAGCATAGGGAGTGCTGCTGACAAACGGTATAGAACGAGATTAGCATAGGGCTTGCAGGTCTGTTGAAGTATATGTAACCCTAACAGCATATTATATAGGTAGCAAAATGCTGTCTATCTTACAGAATTGGAGGCTAGGAGGAGGGTTTTACCTGTTTTCATTTTTTGTTACATCTTAATGGTACTGATGACTTGCAGCCTCTTTACAGCCTGTCCCTGTCTACATGCACCATGATGATAACATGCTCCATGTGTTTTTTCTCAGGGCCTATTATCTAATTGTTGCTGGCTGCCTTTTTTTTAAATGATGCAAAATGCCAGGGCAATGTGCATCAGCACAGCAACATTTAGATTCCTTTAGGAGAGTTTGTAAATAGATGGTTTACAGGCAGGACATTCAGGGAGACGGAGAAGAGAGTTGCATACCTCCCACATATCCCTCATTTGAAACCAAATCCCTCTGTCAATCTCCGGCATAAACATTCTTAATGAACCGCATAACTACAGTATGGGCATGACGGGTGTGTCCATTAAATACATTGTGCTGGAAGGTGTGCATCTTTCTCACCTCAGAAAGTTGTAAGGTATGGAGTTGTCACAACACAACACAAAGCGCCTTAACAAGGACATTTATATCAGTATTGCAATAAAGATAAAAATAGGCTTTCCAATGACATTATCATGTCAAAGTTTACATGAGATTGATAGTCAAAGCTAATATGAGACTATCTAGGTTTACATCTACCACAACAAACTACAGTATGCTTGAGTTCTTTGAATGGCAGTGCTTGGGTGCATTTTCTTATGTGCCCTGCCTGTGTGCACAGATCTGTACACCTTAAAAATCATTTTTACAGATCAATATCTGTCAGCAAGCACTGATTGTAGCTAGCTCTTCCCTTGTCAACGCCTTAGCTACCATTTTTCCTATTAATTGGGGTAATTTTCCTTTTTTTAAGATTATAACTTTTAGCTTGGGGTGATATTAGCAGATCAGGCAGTTGTTTCCGACAATCCTTCAAGAGCTTTTTTGGCAGCACCTCAATGGATCCAATGGAAAAAAATGTGCACCCAAAACACAGCACACACCCATCCCAGTTGCACCGCAACCCCTTGCTGTGTCCTGATATACCCAATTTTCAGAGCTCTAACCTTTAGGTATGGTTTGGCAAATAATGTCCAGAACCAGGACAAATGTGACCAGGTAGAATACGCTAAATGTGACAACACGAACATGGCATGTTCTATGTTACACTAGACATTTAAGTGTATTCTGTCAGAGACATTTAGAAAAAAAAACTAACCAGCAGCAGGACAGTTTTGCAAGCAGATTGAGGAGGGAAAAGACTTAGACACAAGGCAGGTGTTTTGATACACTAAACATAAAAACGTGTGCCAGAACAAATTGACCAGAAGCAAGGTGGTATTTTCACATATCTAGTAAAATAGTCCCAACTGTGCAGACAGAAACAAGGCAAGTGTGTTTTCTGAGATAAGAAGTATATTAAATTCACTTGAGGAAAAACAAATATGCAGAGGTTGGATAGTGCATAAGCTGCACTAAACGGCCAAAATGATCAAAATGATAATTTTTTTGGCAGCCATTTCATCAAGAAAACATGCCAGTCTTAGTGTACCCAAGGACTGCAGCCTCTGAGCCGTTCTAAAGCATCTAAGTCATCACTGCTTTGGCTGGTGATTATCAGACAGCTCATTAGACTCTGTACCTTGGGTCATGGTTAAATTGGCCATTGGCACCACATTTTCAAGTCAACAATCAATTAAATGGAGAGACACAAGAGCAGTGGGAACAGGGCCAAATGTTGAGATAGAAGGAGTTCACTTCCAAAAAAACTTAGGGCATCCTATGGCAGTAGGATTTTACAAGTCATTTTTGTTGTTGCCTGCCCTTTCACTGGCTGCAAGATTTCCCTCCTCCACTTGGTGCTGCCTGCCTTTCCCCCTACATTGCCTCTAGTTTTCCATCTGTAGGAAAGAAATTGCAACTGGTAATCCACCTCTCTGGGGCAACCCAGATCAGGAAATTTCCTCTAGATAATATGGGAGGGGATGCTACCAAAACAACTTTGATAAAGTAGGGCTCAGACAGGCAGACTTTAGGGAAGTTATAACTGTATCAATTTGTTTTGCAGCTCCACATAGCAGCTGATACCTGCTGCCATCTGGAGTTGCACTGCACAGCCACTGTGCAATATTTGTGGCTATTGTCACTTATATGATACAGTCTAATTTTGATTTTACGATAAAACCTGCTTCATCTCTCCCTCTTATATTCCAGCCTAACCAAACTGATTACATGCTGTCTAGTCCCTGAACTATATGTGTGACTATTGTCTCTCAGATAATGCACTCTAATTGTTATTGCAACATAAAACCCCCCTTCTCTTTCTATTTCCTGCCTATTTAAGTACTCACATACTGTCCTGACTCTAGCCACTTTCTACCAAACACATACCTAAGGCCATATTTTGAATATTTCGGTAATAATTTGGGACACATGGATATGAGGGAGTTCAGGGAATGAGGAGTTGTGGTTTTGAAATGTTTTTGCGCTCTCTTTTTTGAAATGTATTTGTTTATTTTTAAGACAACGCAGTGTGGTACTGCAAAAAAAAAAAGAAGCTCACAAACTATACCATTAAACTGTTGTGCCAAGTTAAGAAGTAAAGTTTCCTATAGCTTTTAGATTTGCCGTAGCAAAGCTAAATGTAAAAGTTTAAAAAAATCAATTACCTAAACAAGCCAAAGATTGCATGCTCTCACAAGCAGGGTATTTCTAATCATCTTTTATGGTATTGTATTTGTACTGTCTCCCCATATTTTGTAAAGCGATGTGCAAACTGTTGGCACTATATCAGGTGTGCCCATTAGGTAGATTGTGATCTACCAGTAGCTCTCAAAGCTGATGCTGGTAGATCACGAAGGGTGTGAATGGCGGCCCCTTTATTCCATTTTGGTATATTTATTTAGCTGTGCACACATGATAACCTATCAGCCTGAGTCTGCTGAGCCAAGCTCCCCAACACCTTTCTGGTGGATACTGGTGATTGAAGTGCTATGTATTACATCAAAGAATGTTAGTTTACACAGCCTGTTGCAAAATACAGCAAGGTCAGCCAGGAGAGAAAGCAAGGAAAGAGAGAGAGGAGAGACAGTCAGGAGGGAAAACTAGGAATGACAGCCAGGAGAGAGAGAGAGAGCGAGGAGAGAAAAGAGAGACAGACAGGAGAGAGAGAGCAAGGAAGGTTTTTTTCGTTGGTAGATCTCATGTAGCTTGTCATTTGAAAAATAGATCTTAACACAAAAAATTGTGGGCACCCCTGCTTACCGGCGTAGGCGCGAGCGGCTTAAACGACGTAGGCGTGGCGTAAGCAGCGGGCGTAAGTGGCGTAAGTGGCGTAAACGGCGGGCGTAAGCGGCGAGCGGGAAATTTGAATTTTAGCCAACGAATCGACGATGGAAAACGTTGACAACGTTTTCCATCCTCGATTTTAATCGACTTAATCGAATAACTGTTGCAGCTCTACCCTGCACTATATAAATGCTGTATAATAATAATAAGTAATAGACATGTGCGATTTGTTTCGTTCCGAATCAAAATTCGGACGAAATTACAGAAATTCGGGGATTCAGATGTATCCGAATTACTGATATAATGAATGCAAACAAATCTGAATTTCCGATTCCAAAATTCGTTAGCGGTAGTCTGTGTGAAATTTCGTCTGTTGGACAAAATTTCGTTGCAGCAAAGTGACATTTGAGAAAAAAAAATTTCTTCTAAATGTCACTTTGCTACAACGAATGAACGAAACTAAACGAAATTTTGTACAGACTACCGCTAACGAATTTCGTCCGAATCCGAATCCCAAAACGAATTGACTTTCGGACCCGAATCACGAAAAAACGCAAAATCCTAATCAAAACAAAACTAAACAAATTTTTTGCCGGTGCACATGCCTAATAAGTAATATACAACTGCAAAAGCACTTTAAAGACATCGTAGGCCACATATGATTATTGGATGCTTTGCAAATCTGATCCGGCAGGCTTCTTATATAAGGGGAAAACAAAATCTTCGAAAGAGAAAAAAGCGGCTCATCTAGTGCCCAATGATTTCCTGGTTGATTCCCAATCCTTCTGATTTTGTGAATCTGGAGTTACAACTGGGGTATCTGAGGAGTTACCACAGAATGTTTTGAAAGGGGCTCTATATACAGAATATTTTCTCATGTTGTAGCAGTCTCATTATCCCTTCATAAATAGTTTTTCTTCGGCTTTATCTGCGGTGGAGATAAGACAGCCAGTGCTAATTTTATGGCTTTTATCTATTACATAAATAGCTTTCCTGGTACAGCTCGGGATACAGACTGTCCAGAATGGATTTAGCCTGGAGAGGGTACCTCCTGGTTCTCCTCTCATCCTTGTGTCATGGACGTGTCTTGATATCTGATGGCCTGATTGCCATTGCTGGACCTCTGAGTCGAAGTACAGCGGGTCTTCATAATGAAGTAATGCCAAATAATGAACTTGGGTGCAATAAAAATGATCTACAAGAGGTAAAAGAACAGATACCTGTTCTACGGAAGTATGGAGTCACCGACTACAAGATTTATTTGGATTGGAACTTTCTGCTCAAGGATGAGACGCAAGTACAGTGCTACAGGAGCCTTGCCCAGGCCTTGGCCAATGCTGGCATCAGACCTGTTGGTGTCCTTCACAAAGGAGACCTCAGTGGTCTTCCAGCATCCATCAGTGGAGGCAATCCAACTGAAATGTATATAAAATATGCTGACTTTGCCTTCCATACATTCAGGGATTTGGTCCACACCTGGATCACCTTTGATGTCCCCAAAGAGAAGACTCTAAACCCTCAGTCTTTGCAGGTTTTGACAGAAGCGCATGAGAAGATTTCGATCCTAAGTCGCACCAAGTACGCTACAGCAGGTGAGAGTACAATCAGCACTGGTAGCTAATTTCATTCATAAACTCCTTTCTAATTGTATATTAATGATAAGTAACAGTACTTCATGTTCTATACAAAGGTTTTCAAATGCCACGCCAATGATAATAGTAATAATAATGATATGATGTAACTTGTCAGTGTTGATATGTATTTTTATTGCTTTTACTGCTATTTTTAATATGGTCAGAGTTTCAGTATGCTAAGTATGAGAAATGGTTGGGCAAAGTTTCTTTTTGAGTTCCATAGCCTTTCCATAGCCAAAATAATTTGGACATTTCTTGTTTATGTGACAGGACAAAGAAGCTTGCTGTATAAAGTATATAGCTCATAACTGCCCGCCCTTATCAAGCTAGAATACCACCTAAAATAAATGGGGCAAAAAATCTTATTCAGTACATCTCTCTCATAAATACTAATTTCTTTAAAAGTTTATTTGTTTAAAAATGCTGCAAGAGCAGATAAATACAAACTACATTTCTTTGTAAAAAAAAACAAAAGCAGCGAAAAGGAGCCACTTTGATTGACCAATGGAAGCCCAATAACCATATTTAAAAATTATCTTTATTGATTTAATAAAAATTGACAAAAAATTGATCCTTTTGTAAATTTGTTGCCAGCCATACACACACACCTTGACTACACAGTCCACAATCATACACTAACTTCGGTGTAGGGTATGAATGTTGACTGTGTGGTCAAGGTGAGTGTAAAGCTAGCAACGTTGTCAATATGTTTTAATTGGGTATTTAAGCGCTGTGCGAGGGTTTTAAGAGATTAACAAATTGACAAACTTTTTTTGTCAATTTTTATTAAATCAATAAAGATCATTTTGAAAAATGGTTAATGGGCTTCCATTGGTCAATCAAAGTGGCTCCTTTTCACTGCTTTTCTTTTTTTACAAAGCAGTGTAATTTGTGGTTAAGGTGTTGTCTTCGAGTCTATGAGCGGTGTTAGAGGCATGGCTAACCTTTTGCTGTTACATGAACTGTGCTCCTGGTGGGTTTTCTCTTTTATGTTAAGAGCACATAAATACTTGTTGATCTGCCAGAAATCCAGTGTTGCCCTTACTTCCTGTTTGAGCTGACCACACTGAAATCCTAAGCAGTGTTTTCAGCCCTGCTGAAACTCCCAACACCCTTCCATGCAGGTCAGGAAGCGTGTTAGTACTACAGAAAACCTACCTTACTCCTCATCCCCATAACATAGGAGGGAGATGTTCTGCAAACCAAAGAGAGAACTGAGCATGGCTGACTGAGAAAAGTGCAGCACGGGTAAAGTGTACAGGAAACAGGATTTTTTGAAGAATCGGCAGGTATTTTTTTGCACTTTTTGAACAGATATAACAAACACTTTCAATTGTATATTTAATGGACCAAAAGGAAGCAAATTAGGGAATTAGATTGCTGGGGTTACGTACACTTTAAGAGCATAAAAACGATGTGCCCCTCGATCACCTCTATGGCTCGCTGACAGTGTAACATGCAATAAAGCGTGGTTATCCACAAAAGCAAAAATTGACATCTTTCGATATGAGGATGGTAGCTAAAGAGGGATCACATACTTCAAACAGTCAGGGCCTGCACTGAGTGGCTTTTGCTCACATCAGAACTGTTCATACTCCTATGTTAGTCAATAGGAATACAAAAGCTGCTTGAATTAGGTTAGCTTAGGTCAGACAAAGATCAGCTGCAAGTCAAATGGACAGCAGACCAAGGTCCAATGGGTTGAAACGCCTTTATTCAGACGCTAAACATACAGTAGTGGTGCTAGTTGACAGCAACGTTTCAGAACCTTTGGAGGTCCCTCCATCAGGCAAATATAGTTACTGTGTTAGTACATAGGGAGGGGACCGCCAAAGTTTCCGAAACGTTGCTGTCCACTAGTGTCCCCTTGTATGTTTAGAGCCTGACTAAAGGCGTTTCAACACGTTGGTGTGCAGGCGACTACTTATACATCTGGATTCACTCGGTGCCATCTGCAGGTCATACCAGCGCCCATCTTATCATATTGGGATTTTGGTCTGGAGTGTGGTGGGATATATGCCATTATCAAACTGATTGCAAAAGCGAATCTTTAAAATATCTCCCCATTATTGTGACACCGTATGCCGGGTCACGCTTTGAACTTTGCACTGAGATAAGTCTTGTTTGTGCAAATCAATATAAAAAGTGATAAAGCTTTTATTTGAGACTGATAACACCGTGTCTGAGAGAGCTAATGTACCTTTGGTCTAAAACCTTGTACTCGTATCTCCATAGAAGAAACAACTATTAAAATAATTCTTATAAAGCTAATATACAATTAGCATTTCTGTCACCATTAAAGACAGAAAGGTCAGCCCATTAAAGTGACACTAAACTCAGGAGTTATTTATTAAAAATACATTCAAGAACCTTAACTATTAACATAAATGTATCTTATTTGTGTATCACTCGGCTGTAGATCCTCAAATCATCTCTGAATTGGTGCTGACACTGTCCTTCCTTCTGGAGGGGGGCTACTTGTGTTCCCCATGGTCCCTGTGTGTGTTGTAAAGTAGTCACAAGCTCAATCCCATGAAGGACTACAATCTCATGTTTAGTTTACTAATTTGTATTGAGATTGTAGTCCATCCCGGGAGTGAGCTGGGAGTGGTGACTACTTTACAACACACACAGGGACCATGGGGAACAAATGTAGCCACCCTCCAGAAGGAAAGAAGGTGTCAGCACCAGTTTTTCATGAAATAGCTGACTTGGATTCAATTTAAATAATCTAAAATGTACACAAATGTACTAAATAACTAGAATAATTTGGTCCTACAACCTTCAGCTTCCGACCAGTTGTCGGTGTGGCATCCTTTTGCTTTAATCTGATAACACATCACTCTCTAATATCACCCTCTTGTATTACTGACTTTGAGTAATACAGCTGGTACAGCTCAGGATACAGACTGTGCAGAATGGGTTTAGCCTGGAGAGGGCTCCTCCTGGTTGTCCTCTCATCCTTGTGTCTTGGAAGCTTCTTGATAGCTGATGGCCTGATTGCCATTGCTGGACCCCTAAGTCGATGTACAGCGGGTCTTCATAATGAAGTAATGCCAAATAATGTACTTGGGTGCAATAAAAATGATCTACAAGAGATGAAAGAACAGATTCCTGTTCTAAACAAGTATGGAGTCGCCGACTCCTAGATTTATTTGGATTGGAACTTTCTGTTCAAGGTTAGGATGCAAGTACAGTGCTACAGGAGCCTTCTTCAGACCATGGCCAATGTTGGCATCAGGGCCGGCCTTAGGGGTGTGCGAGTTTACTACCTTGCGCTGTGTTTTTTACCACCATGCTCTGCATTACTAATCACTGCGCTCTGCATTCTTTAATACCGCGCTCTATAGCTTTTTATATTTTACCAAAAATATGGGTGATAAATGGGTGTGGTTACTGGGGGTGTGGTCACTAAAGGGTGTGGCCACTGAGGGGTGTGGTCACTGAGGGGCGCTGTAAAGCTTTCTCGCACAGGGCGCCTAAAGACCTAAGGCCGGCCCTGGTTGGCATCACATCAGTGAGTGATCTTTCGGTAGTGATGGGCCAATCTGCCAGAATCTGAATGCAACAAATGAAAAAAGAAATAATTAGTGAATTCCAATTGCAAACTCAAGTCAATGGGGGACTATTTTCCATGGCAACTTTTGGGACTTTAGAGAAGATATTTCAACAATGGCCAGGGAGCCCCCTGCAAGTTATTTTGTTTGTTTTGCATGTGGTTTGTTGTTACTTGAAGTCTTTTAGACACAAGTTGTAATAAAGGGGTGAAAATATCATGTTAAAATAACTCAAAATGAAATCAAAAAGTAAATCAATGATTAAAATACAGTGATGAAAGAAAGGGACATTCATTTTTTTTCTCATCTAAGTATTCATTTAAAAATGAAAGAAAAAGGTGTGAAAATATCATGTAAGGAGACAGAGATTTTTTTTGGGGGGGTCATATTTTATTATTATTTGATGCTTCTTAATATATAAAAGTATACATTAAAATATAAGAATAAAAATGCAAAACAAATATACTGTGTCTTTACATTTTTCAAGCTGCTATTTTGACCCTGGTTTGTATTTTTTTCTATTGTTTAACAATAATAAACTAAAAATAACTCAAAATTAAATCTTGTTTTAGACTCTTGTTTAAAGGTCCTCCTGCCTCTTAATTTCATCTGGAGTTGCACAACATGGTAGCACTTTATAATCAATAAATCAATAATAATTCTGATAATTAAGGTTCTTATTCTGTCAGGTGGAAGGTTGTCTGTCGCTCTTCACCCGGCCGTATTGGATGCCTGTCTGTCACAAAGGGAGAATTTCTTGGTAAGTAAAGTCATGAGCGCTGTCACCTCCATTCCTCTGCAGGATGGACACTCATGTGGTGGGAGCAGCAGGCCGGATCTCATCTTCAGTAAAACCACATTGTCCCCCAATAATATAATTATCCGGAGGGTCTGTACAATCCTACAATCTGCCACCACACTGCCGACATTTCAAGTTCCCCTCAACACCCAGAGTAATTTGCCCCAAGAAAACCCAGGTACTTGGCTTATTTTTGG